TTCCGTTTATAGTATGTGTTCCAGTATCCAGGTTTGCATTGCAGGTCAAGATTATGTATAACTTCACTGACAGATTTGGTTGCGCTTAGTGCTTATAAGAAAAAAAATAGTAGAAATAATAGATTATTATATAAACACTAGTTAATATTTGCTTTAGTGTCATTGTGCTACTGATTGGTCCGTATAGAGGCACAAGATGGAAGCTCTCCTCCGCGGCATTCCACCGCATTGCTGCACTTAAAGATTACAAGAAATATTGAACGCCCAGTATTGAGTTCTGCAACGTATGCTACCGACATTCTAGAGACGGCCCCATTGCTTGAGAATATCCTGCGTGTCACAGCCACAGATAGAGATGCCCAGGTATTGATTACCTCAAAGGGGTTCACTGTTTGGACAATATTTTTTAAAAATAAAAATCTAGATTTTGCAACCGTATATTGTTTTATACGTTATGAGTAACATTTGATTTGGATGTTTTGCAACCGTATATTGTTTTATCAACCCAGAAAGGGATTCGAATCACTGTTTGGACAATATTTCAACCCAAACAAATCTAGATTTTTGCAACCGTATAATGTTTATATTTTATTAATGAGTGTAGCGGGAGAATTTTCTTGAAAATCTATTTCTTCACCGATTTCGTTCAAATTTGAAATATAAGTTACTCATAACATATAAAAACATTATACGATTGCAAAAATGTAGATTTTTTTGTGTTGAAATATTGTCCAAACAGTGATTCGAACCCCTGTGGATTACCTCCCTTAAAAACATCCAAATCACTCAGGTGTCTCACAAATGTGTTTATAGTTGAAACATTGTTTCATCGAGTTGTGAACATCATTACAAACATGAAACCTTACATGTCAGTCCCCCAACAATGAAGTGACGTATGAGCTTGTAGGAGATGCTGTTGAACTCTATTACTTATTAAAAACTGATTTGATGTGCTATTTAATCTTTTTACTTCAAATTATTTATACTTTAAAAGTTTATTTATACTTGTAACAGTTGTGCAGCTTGCTCACCAAGGTAGATATAAGATGGTTCTTTCTTTGGTTCGTTGCATGATGTTATGTTGGTATTATCTATATTTGAAAGATGTCTTTATTTACATGTTTAATACATCCTGAAAATTGATGTTTTTATTAATGTACCCTCTGTACACAGATGCCAGTGGTTGCTCGTGACCGTCTATCCCCATCTGTGGCCATCAATGTACAACGCAACGTCAACCCTCCTATTTTCACCAATGAACCATATGTAACCAGTCTGCAGGAATATGCCAGTATAAATGATACTGTCTTCACAGTTAATGCTGTCGACACGGATATTGTTGCTCCGTTCAACACCATTCAGTTTAGTCTCATTGGTGATGACACAGCTCCAGCCCACTTCGATATCCGTCAAATTGATAACAACAATGCACAGATTTTCGTCAAAGCACCAGTCTTGAATGATGACGAGACAACTTATATTGTGAGTATACATACCAGTTTAAATGCTGTAACTGTCAGAATCTTAATATATATGTTCATCTTTATCAAAGAATAATGTATAATTGTTTCATTATGACTTAATCCAGTGAAGTGCTGTTTAGTGAATATATTTTGTATGTAGTTTCATGAGAACACTTTGTATTTGTCGATGAAAAACTGTGGAGTGTCACTGAAAAGGATTTTTCCTCAGTCAAATTATGATAGGTCGATAGTTTAGGTAAAAAGAACTACTTCATTTTGTGGGTGGTTGGGACCATTTATTGTGTTTCGAGCATATTGTGTGGCATGTTTCAAAGTTTAAAATTTACAATTACACAAATTCAGTTGCTTCTTTAATACGGTTTCATAATTTGTATTTTCAAGACAAACTTGACATGTAGCCAAAAGGAAGTACCAGTGAAATGAAAAAAGAGGTTAAAAATGACATAATATATTGTACGTTTGTTTCAATTCTGGGTTGGGGTTTTTTTTTTCAATAATGATCAATGGCAGGTTAATACTGTTGTACAAGTTTTGATTCTCTGGACAAAACAGTTTTGAAATTTGTCCAAAAGGCTCCACTCATGAAACATATAAAAATATTTGATTTCTGTCAGCATGATAATGTGATCCCATGGAGAAATGAGAACACTGCAAATTACTTTTGTATTGTTGAATCCTTCAGTACGCTATAATACCCATTAATGTTCACTTTGTCTCATGCCTCATAATACTATTTGTGATCCCAAGGTGAGAGTCCGAGCGGCTGATGGAGGTATTCCTAGCAAGTCCGACACGACCACTGTTCGCATCACAGTCATCAAGAATCGTCAGCACTCAGTGTAACATAAGGTGTCCCAGGCTGATATGCATCCCGCATGACAGACACGCCTTTTTGTGGCCAATCGTACATTTATTATCTGCCCTTAGATACAGAGTGAGCGGTGGTATCGTAATTAGTGCGCGAAGCGCTCGTAATATATTCGCACTTACATATCTCTCTTTCTTGAAGAGATCTCTCATCATAATGATGTAATAATTTCAAAACAGTTAAAATTACCTTTTTTTCCAAATTTACTTATTCTCATAATATCCTCTTAATTCTCTGTGTTAAAATTCTTTTGTGGAAAGTAAATGTCAAAATGTAGCAATCCTCGAATGAATAAAATGTAAAGATATAACTTTCTTGATTTTCTCGATTATAATTTACTGTTCTTAATAATTGTGCCAATTTGTGCTTGTTTCTTGTCCTTCCATGTAGATCTGTTTGTTACAATGTAAGTTACATGTTATAAATTAGCTTTAAAACAAACATAGTCTTTTAGGTAAGTTGGTCTGCTCCGGATTCTCTCAGGTCTCATGTGTTGATCCCTGAATTGTCTGGTCCAGATCCGATTATTTAAATACCGCCGCCATATAGCTGGAATATTGCTGAGTACAGCCTAAAACTCAACCCACTCACTCACTCAGGTCTCATTTTGGCTGTGTTTGAGTCTTGTGTCGCCTTGTGTTGTTGTGCACCTTGGGCAACATTGTCACACTGGTCAAGTTCAGGTTGGACTATGCTTGGGTTTTCTGGCTGTGCTCTTAGTAGTACCTGTTCTCTCAGTCATTGTTGAATTCCTTGATATACACACTGTCATTTTCTGTACTGTTTAAGTCAATCATGACACTGTCCACCAATTTGAAGTTGCTTGCATCTCTGGCAACTTCTTTTTCGTCAACCATTATTCGAGCTGTGGTGGTTGAACCTTTCACACCGATTACAACATAGAACGTAGCTTGCATCTCTTGTGACTTCTCTTTCGTCGACCATTCCTCGAGAAATTATGGTTGAACCTTTCACACCGATTACAACATAGAACGAAGGTTCATATGCTGTACGCCACTTATTATTCTTTTGTTTCGGATTACACTTGTATTGAAGTTCCGTGAGTTGCGAAGATCATCTTGAGTTTGGTGCAGGTAGGTTCTGCTGCTTTTGTATATAATCGTTCGACATGAGGATATCTGATGCATTTGCCGATAACGACAAGGCTGTAATGACCGTCAGGGTATGGTCCTGCAATGGAGGCTGTGTCCCATGGTTTGTCTGGAATCTGCATGATCTTCACTGGTTCTTGTTTAAGTCCTTTATCGTAGCAACTTGACATTCAAAGCACTGTTTCACTGATACTTCCACCATATGGCCCATGCTTGGAAACCAATATCTTGCTCTCAACATCTGTTTGGTCTTGGTAGATCCCAAATGACCTAATGTGTGTGCTGCTTTGATCACTGTGCGCTGGAGATCGGATCGAAGTAAGTTCTCTCACTGCTGATATGTCTATTGAGGCTCGCAAATGCTTCTGACTCGTCTGTTCCCCATTTGAAATGCACATCCTTCTGTGTCAGCCTTCTGAGTGGGGCTGTGATACTTGCACATCTGGGTACACACTTACTCAAGTAACCAGTCATTTCTATGAAGCTTCTCACTGCTTGTTTGGTTTCGGGTGGTTTATACTTTCTCAGTGTTCTCACTTTCTCTCAAACATGTCCTGTGAAACCTTGGCTCCGAACAGTAGACACTTGAATCTGTATGTTACCCCAGGGAGTGCTAAAGGTAGTAACTTCTTGTGATTTCTTGTCGAGTGTCAGGTGTTGGTAACCTTGGCGAAGGTCTAGTTTTGAGAACGTAATGCAATCAGGAACTTGTCCTCTACAACTGGTCCCTGAATAACCCTGCTTCTTTCCATGAACTTATTTGGAATTGTCAAGTCCGCACTGGTTCTTATCATGCTTGGTTTCAGTTCATCTCTTCCTACATCTTTATGACAAGTGGTGAGCACCATCTTATTGCTTCGTCAGTGGGTACTTTCTCAAAGACATCGTCCTGGATTCCTTGGTCTAGTGATTCCTCTAGATAATATGGTCCTTCTCTTGGTTTCTGAGCAACAGGTACGTCTTCCGGCTTCATCGGCAATGTCGCTGGAAATTCATTTCCATTCTTCTGAATGTTTTCAACACCTTCGAAAAGATTCTTGTATTCATGTACAATAGTCTGAATTGGATCGGTTTCAGTTGAAGCGTGATTTACCAGGTTTTCATCTTGAATGCCCAGATTGCCCTCTTTATATGAACCATCCACAATTATCTGCATCATTCCTAAATATTCAAGAGTTGGAAACTTTGGGACACCCCTCCTAGCTTTTGGAACTGCATTTTTTGCAAATGTATTCTTTGTTATTCTTTTCAATGTAAAAATGTTTACATGTACCTTCATGTTTCTAAGTGACTTAACGGGAACCGATTTTTAATGTCACGGTGATCGCCTATATAACTATCATTAACTTTTCGTGATAGTTTTGATCAACTCATTTCCGGCGTGGGTTCAACTGATGTCTCACACACACGAACGCACGCACGCACACACTCACACTCACACACTGTTGTTATGGGCATACCAGAAAGAGTCTCGAAATGATATTTTGGAAGGTGAACAACCTATGTAAGTTTTGAAAAGACAAAAGCAACAAATCATGATGACAATCATTGTCATAATGACCTAATTATTGTTCATTAGGATACACAAACATATGATGAACATCTGTTAAGGGAGTAGTCATGTTCAAATGTTTACATGAATTGTTATTTAGTTGATGGTAGACTATATGCCACGCAAAATACACGTCACATCATCTGTGACACAATGGGTTTTTTCAAATAAATATGGCAAGATTACATGTCCCTGTGGTACCACGAGCTACAGCTGCTGTATCACCCGCTTGGCTATTCTTTTCATCTCCCCATATTTCCTTGGGGGCAGCATCCTCTTGGCCCCCCGATAGTTCTCGTCCAGATGCTGGATTAGGTTGATCTGATCCCGGATCTTCTCACTGTCTTCTATTATATCTTGTTTCGACATATTCGATAACACTGTAGATCAAGATACAACGTTATAGATGAACATGTTTCATCGAAGTTCTGGCGAAAATATGAAAAAGCCTTTAATAATAATAATAATGATAATAATAATATGGATTCTTATGTTGCGCTAAATTCCATATCAAGTGTGCTCAAAGCGCTAATAGAGTTCCACAGTTCATCATTAACCCGGATAACCCAAAAGATGATGTGTGGATTTCGACAAAAACCACACCAGGCTATTGGACCATGCTATACTGACGGGTTAATGGCAAACTGTAAACCACCAAGGCGTATCACCAAATATACTACGTTTTCATTACATTTATACGGAAGCGTAGTAGGGCCACGGTGAAATATTTTTTGGTCTTACTATCTCCTACGTAGTACTTAATATCTCCTACGTATGACTTAGTATCTCCTACGTAGGACTTACTATCTCCTACGTAGGACTTAGTATCTCCTACGTAGGACTTAATATCTCCTACGTAGGACTTAGTATCTCCTACGTAGGAGTAAGTATCTCCTAAGTGGGTATCTCCTACGTAGGACTTAGTATCTCCTACGTAGTACTTAATATTTCCTGTAGGAGATGATCGATATACGTTTATATGGACTAATCTGAAACGGTCGACTTTAAGCCCCAGACACGCACACAATCTCCTGTTTCACTGTTTCAGTCACTGTAAGAGTCTACAGTCATTCGTTTCATTCACTATTAGAGTCTACAGTTATGTGTTTCATTTACTGTTAGAGTCTACTATCATGTGTTTCAATTTACTATTAGAGTCTACTGTTCCTTCGCTATTAGAGTCATGTGTTCAACTAATTGTTGCACATTAGTACTGTGTTGGACCGACTGTTATACTTTACTGCCTTGCGTTCAGTTTGCTCTACTATTACGCGTTGCAGTTAGTTCACTGTTATATGTTGCACTTTGTTACACTTTACTATTATGCATTGGATATTTCAGAGGTCGTTGCACATGAATCATAATCTGCGTGTACAGACGTGTCTTAGACTATCGGTGGCATCCCCTTATATTTATACAAATAACTATTATGACAATTCTTTGCCTTTTTGAATTTCGTATTGTTTTACGCCGCACTCAACACGTGTCCACCCCAGTCAAGTCAACCTGTAAACAATTACGAATAAAACCGCAAACGAGCGTTGCATCCGAACCAACCTAGCCCCATCAAGACAAGCAACAACTTGCGGAGGTCGTGTTATAACCCGAGTTTCATATCACCTCACCCCAACCACCCCTCTCTCTCTCTCTGTGTGTGAATAGATGTATGTATGATAGATTAAACATAAACATACCCAAACCTCCATAACTGCAATTAGAGCAGGGTCCACGTCACCCTAACGTAATACACACACAATAACACTGTATAGTAACACACTGCGTTAGTGTCATGAATATTCACTGACTCAAATTTCGGCTGTCTAACGTCCTGCATAGCCAAACATTTCTCAACTTAATAACCATCCTTAAAAAGGATATATTAAGTACTACGTAGGAGATAGTAAGTCCTACGTAGGAGATATTAAGTCCTACGTAGGAGGTACTAAGTCCTACGTAGGAGATAGTATGTCCTACGTAGGAGATAGTATGTCCTACGTAGGAGATACTAAGTCCTAGTAAGTCCTACGTAGGAGATAGTGAGTCCTACGTAGGAGATAGTGACCCCAAAAAAACTTTTCACCGTGGCCCTACTACGCTTCCGTACATTTACATATGTATATGTATTTCCATTTGTTACAAAGTTCAGTAAGACTATTTAGATTGGACTGTATAACGCAGAAGATTTATACTCATGCCAATAATAGTTGTCACCCACCTCCCCACCCCAACCCCACTTCACACCCTCTCCCACCCCACCCCCTTTCCAATTAAAGAAAATGAAGGGGGTGACAACCATTATTGGCATGAGTATATTTCAAGGAACAATAGCATGCGCATATAATACAGTAGAGAATATTAAGTGAGTAAGGAAGTCAATATATGCATTCAGAAACAACCTAAACAATGGTGGCAGTACATTATCCCTTGCCGGATTCAAGTCTCTGAGGGTGAAAATCGCCATAGATCTGTTATTGTGCGAGATGCAAGGTATTTGATATTTGATATTTTGATTCATAAACACCCAAACCCAAAACGCACAGGCCAAAAATAATGAAATGTATTAAACGTATTTAAGTGTCGATTAAGCTTGCACATAGATGAAGGAAATTCGACACACTACATACTACTCTACTGCATACTACGCTTTCCCAACATCACGGCGGGGGACACCAGGAAAACGAGCGGCGAACGCTTTAACCACTAGGCTACCTCACCGCCCCATGTCTGGAAGCGCTGACTAAAACAAAATATTCTGTCTTCAATGAAACAACCCAGCTGGTTCACAGACATACAAAATACAATGCAACACATAATCAGTGAAATAGTTACCGCGGGTTTTCTCTTCCTTGACTGCCAGAGCTCTTACATTGTCGCCAAAGGTATTTTTGTCAGGGTCATACTCATTGATGCGTGTTACAGCTGTCCTGAGCATATCCTTCAGCATGCCATATCTTGCCAAGAAGAACACCCCTTTAGCTGCAGCATACTCGTCCTTCAGCACACGCACTATGTTGCTAAGGCCATGTAATTTCAAAGTGAGCTGTATGTTTTCAGATTGTTCTGAAATTGATTTCGAAAACACGTTCATGTATACATCTCAAGAGAAGTCAATGAGTTACATTATTTCAGCTCCTGACAAATACTATTGTATTTTAAAAGGTTCGTGTGTTCGTCAACTTCTACAAAACTATACATTATGACATATTGCCTACAGTAATATGAAAGAAGCGGAAGTTCTTTTACTTCTGTTGAGCAACACACACACAAACGATAACATCAGCACACTATCTCTCTCTCTCTCTCTCTCTCACACACACACACAAAACACACACACACACACCACCCCTAATTTCTAAGCATAATTTTAAACATTCTTATGTACAAAATTGCTGGAACACCCCCCACCCACACGCACACCTAGTACGTGTGTACAAAATTGATGACCCTCCTAGCCAGCTCCCCAGAACAAAATGAGTGACAACACCCCCACCCCAGCCTCCTCTTAAAATCATCATCATCCCCTAGCCATAACTTATGAACGGTCCCTTATCCACATTGAAAATTCAGGTTTCTCTACCTTGTTTAGGAGTATGCTAACACACAGGCATGAGCAGTTCATACTGATGCACTTTTGAGTTAACTAGGACCATGAATTACAAGCAACGGGAAATCGTGAACCACACTCCAACGTGAGTGACAATAGCTTCGAAGTATTTTCTGAAAAAGCTGTTCAATCAAGAAAAAGCAACACTGCGTGATGTTGACGTTATCATCGAAATAAACAATTGGTTAGGAGAGGCAACCGAAACCTTAGTTCCAGCCACGCAAGTACGTAGAAACATGGGCATAATTAGTATTCATTTTGTGAACCTAGTTCAAATTTAAAATACTTCGTTTTGTGTAGAAACATTTCATTGTTGCTTTCTCATGTCACAATGAATCAGACCGCCTCCGTGGTGTAGTGGTTAGAGCGTCCGCCCGGGGAGCGGAAGGTCGCGGGTTCGATCCCCGACCGCGTCAAACCAAAAGACGTTAAAATATGGTACTTGTTGGTCCCTGCCTGGCACTCGACATTAATGGGTACAACAAGGACTGGTCGGCTCGGAGTCAGTATAATGTGTCTGAGTGGGGTATTCATGCTTCACTGCGGCATGGTATCTCAGTGGGCAAGCACTATAAAACCAGCTTAAGTCTGGGCTAGTACAAGCAGCCGCACATACACATACACACGCATGCACGTCGTCATATGAGCGAAATATTCTCAAGCACGACGTAAAACCCAATTTCACCTCACCTCACCTCACAATGAATCACTTTTTCGCATATATATCTGGGCTACTTATTTTTTCGGAAGAGGACGCGTAACAATAGTGAATTCAAAATATTTCCTTCTATTTAGTGAGTGCGTGAATGCATACATATCTCCAAATATTTCCTTTGGTTTTGTTTTTATGTCGTGCCTGATCTATACATGATTCACAAATACTATTGACAATAGTTTACACGTCACAATACTAAGTGTGTTCCTTGAGGAAAATATTAAACGTTTACTTACCTCTTCCCATTATTCTAAGGATTCTGGAATCAAAAATATGTTTCAAGATATTACAAAAATGAAATATATCACCAGTTCGGTTCAGTGCTGTTGTTGTTGTGAGAACAAGGTAGTATTAACTAATTTTACCGTAAACAAACAGGTATCTAAGTAAGTAAACAATCCAGAATCAAGTCTTACTTTGCGGCAAGCTATACCAGCTTACAGTTGCAAACAAGGAAATGAAATATCATTTTACACACCAGCGTTCAGTAGTTTCGGGATGACAGTTTGTGTGCGCCTGTATAAATATACTACAGATGGTGAATAATGATATTCCCATTACAGCTCCATGTTTTGTGGACGGATACTGGGAGAACGACTCGGCTTACTTTGCAAGGACTCAATAATCTGAAAATCCTGCTTTAAACACAAACACCTGTGAACTCACAGCTGTGTTAATATCACAAAAAAACACAACAGTCATCAATCACTACACTGAACAACAGCACAGCACTATCAAGTAGCTGGTAGGTGTTAATGAAACACAGTTACAATACATACCTGTGTTAGCAGGTAGGCCCAGGTAAACAAGGTTATCTGTCGGACCGCGTCTCCCGCGTCCCATACATGTAGCTCAACGATCGCAGTTGTAGTTAACTTTCCTATTCTGTGTCGTTGAAGGTCATACGTGAATTTTGAATCAGTAGAGAGGTGAGATGGCGAGGGGATGTTTTACATAGGGACCGTACCTCTGATATCCATGTTTTCTGGTCACCGTTGAGCTTCACATGCAAGGTGACGCTTACGATTATTTGAAGCCATATGACGTGGACTCAAGAAAACCAACCAATCGTGAATAGTTAGCTGGTGACAAAAGGGTTTTCCCCACCGGCGTCTGACAATCTGTCGTCAGCCATTGATTTAATAGTGTCGTTTTGATCAATGACATACAGGCTGCTCTTCAGCATGAGATACACAGTTACCAGTAGACTCAGCTACATATTGTTATTTACATTATTTTTCTGCATGTGTAGATACTAAGTGACATGGCGTATGCTTCTTTGTTTATGCTTTGAGCACGCCAGACTGGAGCTTCAGGAAAGATTGAGTGACCTGAAAACGGTTTTTTCTTTACCAGCAAAGCATGATTCACTATATATAATGAGGAAATAGATGAATGGTTTTCAGTAGCTATGTTTGTGTTGGTAGGTATGCTTTATAGATCGGGCATTATGCGTGGCGGTCGTTATAGTTGGTTGGTTGATTTGTTGGTTTACGCCGCACTCAGCAATATTCCAGCTATGTGAAGACGGTCTGAAAATAATCGAATCTGGACCAGACTATCCAGTGATCAACAGCATAAGCACCGACCTCCACAATTGGGATACGATGACGTGTGTCAACCAAGTCAGCGAGTCTGACTACCCGATCCTGTTAGTCGCCTCTTACGACAAGCATGGGGTACTGAAGACAGATTCTAACCCGGATCTTCAGGGGTGGCGGTCCTTATGCTCGTCGGTTATAATACCCGTTGGTATAATGTTGGTGGTCACGCCAGCCAGGAGTTGTTGGTAGCTATGGTAGCCCGTAGTTGTGTTGTTGGTAGCTATGCATATGGTAGCCAGTAGTTGAGTTGTTGGTAGCTATGGTAGTCAGGACTTGTTGGTTGTCGGGACCATCCTATAATTCAACATTTGGAGGAGCGAGACCATCATATATTTCAACATTTGGAGGAGCGGAACCATCATATATTTCAACATTTGGAGGAGCGAGACCATCGTCTATTTCAACATTTGGAGGAGCGAGACCATCATATATTTCAACATTTGGAGGAGCGAGACCATCATATATTTCAACATTTGGAGGAGCGAGACCATCATATATTTCAACATTTGGAGGAGCGAGACCATCATATATTTCAACATTTGGAGGAGCGAGACCATCATATATTTCAACATTTGGAGGAGCGAGATTTCATTTCGAGACCATCATATATTTCAACATTTGGAGGAGCGAGACCATCATATATTTCAACATTTGGAGGAGCGAGACCATCATATATTTCAACATTTGGAGGAGCGAGATCATCGTATATTTCAACATTTGGAGGAGCGGACGACCATCATATATTTCAACATTTGGAGGGGCTGAGATCATATATTTATATTTCAACATTTGGAGTATTTGGGGAGGGACCATCATATATCATCATATATTTCAACATTTGGAGGAGCGAGGACCATCATATATTTCAACATTTGGAGGACATTTGGAGGGACATCATTCAACATTTGGAGGATATTTCAACATTTGGAGGAGCGGGACCATCATATATTTCAACATTTGGAGGAGCGGGACCATCATATATTTCAACATTTGGAGGAGCGAGACCATCGTCTATTTCAACATTTGGAGGAGCGAGACCATCGTCTATTTCAACATTTGGAGGAGCGAGACCATCGTATATTTCAACATTTGGAGGAGCGAGACAACATTTCGTTTATTTCAACATTTGGGGAGCGAGACCATCATTTATATTTCAACATTTGGGGAGCGAGACCATCGTATATTTCAGCATCTATAGAAGCATTTGGGGAGAGACCATCATATATTTCAACATTTGGAGGAGCGAGATCATCGTATATTTCAGTATTTGGGGAGCGGGACCATCATATATTTCAACATTTGGAGGAGCGAGACCATCGTCTATTTCAACATTTGGAGGAGCGAGACCATCGTCTATTTCAACATTTTGAGGAGCGAGACCTTCGTTTATTTCAACATTTGGAGGAGCGAGACCATCGTCTATTCAACATTTGGAGGAGCGAGACCTTCGTTTATTTCAACATTTGGGGGAGCGAGACCATCATATATTTCAACATTTGGGGGAGCGAGACCATCGTATGTTTCAGCATCTATAGAAGCGAGACCATCATATATTTCAACATTTGGAGGAGCGAGACCATCGTCTATTTCAACATTTTGAGGAGCGGGACCATCATATCTTTCAACATTTGGAGGAGCGAGACCATCATATATTTCAACATTTGGAGGAGCGTGGCCATCATATATTTCAGTATTTGGAGGAGCGAGACCATCATCAATTTCAACATTTGGAGGAGCGTGGCCATCATATATTTCAACATTTGGAGGAGCGAGATCATCGTATATTTCAGCATTTATAGAAGCGAGACCATCATATATTTCAACATTTGGAGGAGCGAGACTATCGTCTATTTCAACATTTGGAGGAGCGGGACCATCATATAGGTCATTAATTGGATTTGTACCAGTATGTTCTCAAAACACAACAGACATAATATAAGAAGGATTTTTGTTGTTTAATAGCAAGAATAAAGTACATGAGGTGTGTTGGAAGAGGAAATTACAATTTACACTGGTTCAAGTCACAACCAAAAGATAAAAAATATATATAGCCAAAATAAACTCAGATTAATACAGATCCTTTTACTTTATAAGCAATGCTGCCTGTCTCACGACATTCTTGAGGAAATATGTGTTAAAAATGTATCATACGTCCTAAACTGTTAAACTGGAAATGATGTCACATACCCATCGATACCTATGAGAACTGTTGAATATTTCTGAAGGCGATATGCTATTCCTTGCGATTTCAATTGAAAACAAACTACCCAAAGTAACATCGAAATTTTTATACGTAATTCTTCTTTGCGACACTTTCATCGTGGATTAGTTGGAATAGACGCTGAAGGCGTAGAAACGTGATTTGCTCTGCAGGGGCTAGACGGTCACTTCCGGGCTTTATCCATTGATCATGGTGCATGGTGGTGCAAGACATTGTTTAAAAAATAAATATCAATGCATGATTTCATCATTCTTGTTTAAAGAAATTAAATGATGCCATCATGCAAGAAAGTATGTTTCGTAAAATGAACTTGATAGCTTGTGTTGGAACATCTTCAAGTCTTGAAATCTGTATTTGTGTGAAAGTAATACATTCTGAAATAGCCATCCAATATTGTTAAAGAAAGGTGATCAGTGAAGTTCTTCCCTTGCTGTTGCACACATGCCTCCATGTGATGTTTAGGTGAAGATATAATGGTCTACCGGAGGCACCCAATGACTCAAGGCATATCAGGTAATAATGTGAACATTGAATGTAAAGTTACGTATGAACAGTGTAAATATAATACACACAAGTCTATGGGGGCCAAAGGCACATAAGTACTTCGCCAACCTTGATTGTGCCGAGATTGTGCCAAAATTGTGTCATCAGCAGCACTGTAGATGATGTACAGTAGAATACCCGAAAGTATAAACCAGCTGCAGGAAGCATTTTCCAGTGCTCCAGATAGTTTCCAGTATCCATCAGTATTGCACTGCACGCAAAATATCCAGCCACAATACGTCCACTGGTTAAATACAAAAACTTGACAGTATCCAATACAATATCGTCATAATTCACGGAGCTGAATACTGTACAACCGTAATATCCGATGTTGAAGATTATATATGAGTACTATTCCAGCTCCCCAAGCATTCCAGATCAGATCTCGTGCTATTTACAGCTGCAGTATTGCAGATACAGGCATTCCACTTGAAATTCCGATCTCCATGCTGTTCCCGAATTACCGTTAGCCTCGGATGATGTACCACTTTCTGAAAACAAATCACAACTTACATTTCATTCCACAAATTGTCTATGACCCATCATCTCAAAACTGAATTCCCATGACATATGCACGTACTATCAGTCATGACCTGTTGGGTATCCTAGAAAGGACATGAGATTACCAGAGTTCTGTTACTGCAGACTCTTGTTCTGACCACCATACACATCCCAAAAGAGTCATCATCAGTTTGGTACCCTGAGTGTGGAGATACACAACAACCTACTAGTTTAGACTTCTGTTTTGACCACCATACACATCCCAAAGGTCATTATTACCAGTTGGATACCCTGCTTGTGGAGATACACAACAACCTGCTAGTTAAAACTTCTGTTTTGACCACCATACACATCCCAAAGGTCATTAATACCAGTTGGATACCCTGCTTGTGGAGATACACAACAACCTGCTAGTTTAGACTTCTGTTTTGACCACCATACACATCCCAAAGGTCATTATTACCAGTTGGATACCCTGCATGTGGAGATACACAACATCCTGCTAGTGCAGACTTTTGTCCCGCGTTACATCCTTGATCATGTTTTTCATGATCCCGTATCGTGACAGTGGAAATGACTGTTTGGAAGTTTCATAGTCCGTTTTGAGCTGTTCTAATCTGTTAAAGGCTCTCATGAACCTAGGACCAAATGCCTCGATTTGTTTCCTTTTGAGCTCATTGTCTTCCAGTACCTCCTGTTTTGACATCTTGCTGAGATCTGAAACATGAGGCAAATGCGTTGGTTATGCCAACCCAACAGCCTGATGATAAGGAGTTTATCAAATTCATTGTGGGCAACCCCTTTCATGATCGTCACTGTGATGAGTTTTAACATGGGACCGCTAAATTTAGAATAATCAAAGCCTAAATGGTTTGCGTTGAAAGGACTGTCAAATATTGTCAGTTTCGCATCAATTAATGGGGGAACAATTTCACATTTGATGGAAACAAAACGTTGCAGGCACCTATCCAATATCCTATAAACACAAGCGCAATGAAAAGTGACGAAAATATGACGGAAGCATGAACATGCGAATAATGATTGACAGCTAGCGTTATCATGATGTTCCATGTAATTATTCTAGAAACCTGGGGTCATCTTCTACTATTTAACCACGGTACCTACCTTTCCTAGTTGCAGCAGCTGTTTCAATACCATCCGACTTCCCTGCAAACGTCTTACACGCGGACAGCAGCCCGCCCATGCCGCCAGCGTGAGCATCACTACCACTCCTTCCACTACTGCCACTGGCAGAGTTATCTGCCCCTGATGCCGACCTATCCTTGTCGGCAAAATCTTTCGCCTTCCCAAGAAGTCCAGACAAACCAGATTTAGGTTTGGAAGTATCTGTCTTCGCATACGTGTCAGCCTTCCTGAGGTTTTCATCCTTCACACAACGTTTGATCATCCTCTTGAGTACGGCGTAGCGCTGTATGGGGAAAGCACTGTAGCTGTTGTCGTAGTCCTGCTCCAGCTGCACGAAGATGGCCCTGATCTCCCTGTACTGGGTCTCCAGCTCCCGTATCTTGTGGCCCAGCTTCATGTTCTCCGACTTCAGACCATCCTTGGTCCAGATCACCTTGGTATCTGAAGAATATTCACCAAAAATGGTTAGGGAATAAGATCCACATTATTTTGCGTGTTTCTTGTTTAACTGCGCACTCAACAATAGTCCAGGGCTTAGATTTTCGAAGCTCTCTTAGCGCTAAGATAGTCGTAAGTTAATGTTAATGTATGGCACTTACGACTATCTTAGCGCTAAGGAAGCTTTGGAAACCTAGACCCAGCTATATGGCGGCGGTCTGTAAATAATCGAGCCTGAACCAGACAAATCCAGAAGTCAACAGCATGAGCATCAATCTACGCAACCAAGTCAGCATGCCTGAACTCCCGATCCCGTTAATCGACACTTACGACAAGCATTAATTGCTGAAGACCAATTCCTCTGGTGAGACCCACAGAAACTGAATTACGAGATAACCTAATACACCACAGTTTCCAGGTTAATTCGAGGTGGTCCATCAACAATTAAACACTTCTAATGATAAGCCGCCTCTAATGTCAACTTTAGCGTTGTTTGAACAAAGGTGTGTCACCTCAAAATTTAAACTGAATAGGTTTATCACTATTCAACCATTTACTGCACATATGTTCAGGACAGTCACACGATGGGAAGGTTTTGGGGATTTTGTTGTTGTGGTTGTTGTCTGTTTTGTTTGTGGTGGTTTCGGGGTTTAGTATTAGGCTCAGTCCGTCCGCCCGTACGAATTGGAATATCTTAAGATCCGTTGACTAGATTTTTTTTATACTTCTGTACCTAGGTTCATCACAGTATAAGAAAGGTCTCTGTCAGGTTTGGTGACCTTGGCCTTCATTTCAAGGTCACAAGGGGACTTAACGTTTTACTCTTGTCAGCGAGATATCTCAAGAACCGTTCTCTAGATTTTCTTCATATTCAACTTCAAGCTTTATCTAGGGAAGGCGCAGGGTCCAACCGATTTTGGTGACCTTCACATAATTTTCAAGGTCATGGCGACACTTTGAAGAATTCAGCATGTTAGACTGACTGAGTTTGGTTTTACGCCGCTTTTAGCAATATTCCAGCAACATCACGGCGGGGGACACCAGAAATGGGCTTCACACATTGTACCCATGTGGGGAATCGAACCCGGGTCTTCGGCGTGACGAGCCAACGCTTTAACCACTAGGCTACCTCACCGCCCCCACAGAATGTTAGATTGCATGTTAACATAGCAAGATATCGCAAAAACATTCACTGGATTTTTTTTGCATATTTGACACCAAGCTTCATCTAATGAAGGCGCAGAGCCCAAATATATTTTGGTGACCTTCACATAATTTTCAAGGTCACTGCGACACTTTGAAGATTTCAGCATGTTAACCTGAATTCACTGGATTTTCTTCATAGACTTTCAAGACTCCCCTTGAATGTTTTTCAATAAGCAATTTCTGTAGTACCACTTTTATATTTCATACACTATAACATTCATGTCAAGGTCAAAGTCAGTCTTGAAAATATTTGTGTGTTTGAACAACTAAAGAGCAAGATATCAAGAGAGCTCATGTTTTTGTTGACATTCAACTTCATCTTAAACATTCATTACTTTTTAAGTTTGATTTGATTTGTTTTGGCTTTTGTTTTGTATGTGTTTGTTTTTGTTGTTGTTATTGTTATGTTTTTTTGTGTGTTTTTTGTTTGTTTGTTTTTGTTTTGTGTTGTTTTGTTTGTTTTTATGTTTGTTGTTGTTTTGTGTGTTTTGTTTTTTGTTGTTGTTTTTGTTTTGTTTGTTTGTTGTTGTTTTTTTGGGGGGGGGTCGGTCGGGTTCTTAGTCATAACCCTACACCCGGACATTCAGTTAGAATCAACCATGACTTAGATCAGGTCTTCGCAAAGTTTAAACATAGTATTTGTTGGTACCCTCAAAATGTAAATTTGAGACATGGTTTATAGTGTATTTCATTACGGTACAGAGAATCATGTTCATTACATATTTAATTTTACTCTTTTGCCGGCAATGTCAATTAATGAGCTTTCACATTTATTCACTTGTATCATTGCGCCATAATCGGGGTCAGCACAACTTAATGCCTTGTCCTTCACAATTTGCTCCAGCTAAGCATGTATACACCTATAGCCTATGTGTGTGACTGAACAAATTTGAAATCGGCCAGACGTCCAGACTAGATATCTGAAAAACATTCAACATGTATGTTGATGAGGAAATATCTGACGACCAACAACGATGTTGCCAGAACTTCGGGTCATACTTTGATCAACCTTTAGCGGAGTAGCCCAGTACTGGCATCTCTGTGCGGACACGAATCCGTGCTATATCCTGACACACGTCACGTTTTTATGCTAATGATTTCCCTAACTCCACCCCAGTATGTAACAACTGAGAAACAGCAGTTCTTTGAGTGAGTGAGTTTACTTTTACGCCGCAATATTTCAGCTATATGGCGGCGGTCTGTAAATAATCAGACTATCCAGTGATCAACAGCATGAGCAGCAATCTACGCAATTGGGATACTATGACATGTGTTAACCAAGTCAGCGTGCCTGACCACCCGATCCCGTTAGTCGCCACTTACGACAAGCATGGGTTTACTGAAGATCAATTCTAACCCGGCAGCTCTTTGAGACGGGGATGGATATAAATAGTGATCAGAAGACAGTGCTGTTTACCATGCCATTTGAAGCGACCCTAAACGTCGTTATCGCTCACTAACAACAGTACCTTATAACATCATGATGGGTTAACACCTAGTAGAACCCTTCCTAATAGTCACAGCATTTCAAAACACTAAGTCAGGGTTATATATATATCATATCTTTAGGATACACTGTGACACTGAAACTGACTGAGATTATGAACAATTACTTCCTGAGTTAGCAATTTCCACGAAAAGGAAGAATTTAGACACATTCGTGGGTCCTACGTTGAGTCATGACACTGGCGACTGACACGGAACCGAAACGGGTGGTCAGGCTCGCTGACTTGGTTAACACATGTCATCGGTTCCCAATTGTGCGGATCGATGCTCATGATGTTGATCACTGGATTGTCTGGTCCAGACTCGATTATTTACAGACCGCCGCCATATAGCTGGAATATTGCTGAGTGCGGCGTAAAACTAAACTCACTCATTGCATTCGGGGGCTCCGAAATCCCGTACAACCTCAGCGTAAAATATTGCACGATCATTTAAATAAAATGTCCAAATTAAATGTGATGTATCTGTGACACGTCGCATAATATGATGAACACAATATATCTAGGGTTCTGTATAGTATTAATTATTTATAAATCAATATAAACGATGTTTTCTGTCTAATCTACAGTCCATCACAATTCAGTGACAGATACGTCTCCGAGGCAGGCGCTCGGACCGGAGGGCAAAACTTTAAAAGCCTAAAAATGCAAATACATGTACTGTGAGACTGGTTACACATTAAATAAATGCTTTTCATCACAGAGTACTGTGGGAGCATAAAACGAAGTTGTGGTACACTGTTGATTGACAGGAGTTCCAGATTATTTGACTTGTAGAGGGACAAGCGAGGGATGTATGTGGCTAACTGATCTTTAAGTGATATAACGATGAACACACAGCGATGACTGGTTTTCCATTCCGTTAGTTACATTTCCGCATGGTGCGCAGGCCCATTAAGTATCTTATATATAGACAGAGCTATAAGCACGTGGTTCTGATGGGGACAACCACTTATTCACCTTCAGATAGAAATTAACGTGAGTCCTGAATCATGACTTAATGATATGATTTCACCACTACTGCATCTCAAATATTCACCCCCGAAGGTTACCTGGGCTCTCAAATTTCACATTAAATCTATAACATCAATATTTTAAACATATGAAAAAAAGGTTCTACGTCTCAAGTAGAACATGCTTACATTCAGATATGAGGGAGGGATAGGGAGTGTTACGAGCCCACAGCGAATCAAAACTTATGGTTAAACACCTGTGATACACAGGCCCTCGCGCATGTCTTTGCGAGGTTTAAAGATTTGTAAAAAAATATATACAAAGTTAAGATGATCCCCCCGACTCGAAATGCTTCACGGTACAATACATCATGATGTATTGAACTGTAAAGCATTTTGAGTCGGGGGTCATCTCCAAAACAATATCTTTTTATCCACGCAAACACACGAGGGCCTGTGCTGTCACAGTCTCAAAATTGAAAACCCGGAAAGACTACTTCGACACGAGCAGTGGACTAATAGCATATCAATCTGTTTGTTAACCGGTGACGATGTATGGAAGACGATGTAAGTGACTTGCCTTTCCCCATTTTGTCCGACTTTGTGCGTGTCAGACTGGGTGTGTCCTCTGTATGCGTCTGACAGGGTATATATCCTGGGTCCAACAGTATGTGTCCGTCAGACTGGGCTGTGGCTATAGTTGTCCATACGGAACGGGGCAGTCACACACCACAGATGACTCAGGTGCGTCTGGAATCCCTCTACCTGGTACACGGCAAGTAGAAACAACACACTGATATAGCATCACATACTGCACACATACATGAATCACTGAACTACGTATCGTGCACTAATACCAGATAGTAACATAGTTAACATATTATCTACCACTAAGAAACGACTATCATGAACGAAGGCTCACGCACGGTGTGTTGGGGTTGGGCGAGAAAATCAGCCCACGCTTCCATCCGGCAATAAAATACAGATTACGAATGTCACACTGACATTTGATTCTACAATACGATCCCGATTATAACGCCACCGTATTTAAACACTGGTAAACCACGAGGCTGTTAAACAGGCTCGTCCACGGGGGCGGACTGGTAGGACTCTGTAACTAGTACTACTACCTTGACATATGGCAAGAGGTCAACGTATTAATCATATGTCAGCAATGAACATTCCCGCAACAACCGAAGCAGTTGTACTAACAAATGATAAACACCTGGTGTTAATAATTCATAGGTTGCAAGAGAATAACAATATTTATCTATTGGCTAAGGTGGTTGTCTGACTCGGTTAATGAGACAGTTAATGTGGCACAGCGACCTATATCAGCAGGAAGCGTGCATCGCAGCGTTCCTATGTTTACATGGCAACGCACGCATGTTTTGTTGGTTAATGCAGCTAATGCTGCCAGTGGGTTGGGTGCACAAAGGCAAGCACGGTGCGTCCACACAGCTAGACTTGATGCAGGCTGTTACGGTTTCAATAACAGCTGATATTACCGTTATATCCGGGTCGGCAATATATGAAATATTACATGGATATCACTCAACAGTTATCGTCGGTGGTGCTCGATGTTTAGCATATGGGAAAGTCGAGTGTATAGATCCCACAACGTCAAAACATCCTCATCAACGTTATCGATTATGGAAATGTCCACTCGTGTAAAGCAGCAAAGCAGAAAGCTGAATATCATCACTGCCGTCTTGGCAAGACATCACTATATCTGATAAAGCTAGCATCCCCCAGTTATATCACGACTGGGGTCCTAACCATTCTATCACATTGCAATACATTCACTGCTGATGTCTTGTCTGATGGGCGACACCGTTCTAGAGTCTACACTAGCATTCTGCCCACTACACGAATAGTTGTGCACTGACTGGTATCCTGGCCCTGCCTCACATCAACAGATCGTGTATTTATGGCACGGTAGGCATAAAAGAAAACAATCAGAGTCACGAACTTGAGGTAGTGTCTTAGAACAGGTCAAGCATGTCATGTGTTCCCCACGTGCGCGTTATAAAGGTGGCCTTATAAAGGTTATGTCAACAACAGATCTGCACCCGGTCAGTGCGGCAGCACAGGGGTCCGGGTATCAGTGACAAGTAGCCTGGGTTAATTATGTAACCACCATACATGCCTAACCCATTCACCTGACCCTGCCGTCACATACCTCACATACCATCTGACCTCGCGACATTTCCCGCGAAAACTGAAGACCGTCAACAAGCAATGTCAAAGCTGACATGTATCGAATACAATCCCTGTAACGTTGAGATTCAGCGCATTATAATACACGCTGATCATAAAGCTATAACATTCCCACTTACCTGCTCGCAATGTTGAACTACATGTGCCTGACGTATGCATCCAGAATATCGGGCTAATTATCTAGGCCATGCCGTGAGCTCGCTTCTCTCTCTAGCTCTGCCTCCCTCTATCGTCTGCTCTCTGTCAGGCAGACCGACTCACTGTCACTGTAGCATTACGCGGCGTATCTCCCCCAGCTTGAACATATCACTCCGATACAGCAGATGAGGGGATAATGTCAGAACTACAGATGCTTCCTCCTCCCAGTTATCGATCTATAGGCGCTCGGCCAACTGACAACTGCTTGACGAAGATGGGACTCTCTTTATCTCGTAAGGAGGAAACGTGCGTCTCTATTTGTGAAATAAGTCATGATAATGACTATATTGTGAGCACTGTGTATACTAGTATATAGATATATATCCTGTACAACTGTTAGTTACTATTCACCTGACGAAGGGCAAGGAATAGCCCAGAAACGTTGTGTATACAATAAAGAAGAAGTTGACATCCATAATATTTTGTCTTATACTTGAATACCAACTTGTATATGCCTCTCAAGAACTGTGTCACAGACTTGACATGGTGTAAACATGACACACGTCGCTTGAAGGAGCATAAATCTCAATAAGCCTGTTATGTTAATTATGATTTTAATTACGTCCTTACTGAAGATCACCATTGTCTTGAGACATACAATACTCTCTCTCTCTCTCTCTCTCTCTCTCTCTCTCTCTCTCTCTCTCTCTCTCTCTCTCTCTCTCTCTCTCTCTCTCTCTCTCTCTCTCTCTCTCTCTCTCTCTCTATCCGCGTGTTTGGTGGAGAAGGTTGGGCTGTGATGTAAGATAATATGGTGCCTTGTCTCATATGTTTGATAGGTACATCCACATGTGTATGAATTATTATTTATGTTTATATTCACATTGTCAAGTAAATGATATCTGGCAAATATATGGTAGTAGTTTTCTTTTTTATCTGGGTACATACCATTATTATCAAGGGTACAGCTTAATTAAGTCTTATGCAGCCGACCATAAAATGTGTTGGTTTAAGCAGTATGTCTTATGGGAGGTCTGTCTTATGGGAGGTCTGTCTTATGGGAAGATACCAAATGACACGTCGAGACGCTTAATTATGCTCTCTGCTGAAATACTATTCAAAGCGGCGGGTTAATCACAACCCAGTACTCACAAATTTCCTTCACGGAGATTCTGCCTCCATAGAAAAACTCGAATTGACTGGTCGGCGTTCTAGAAGTTGTGAGTCAATAATAAAGCATACAACTTTATGAATAACAACTTTTGGTTTATTGCACGGAGCGATGTTTCGGTGTAGGTTCTTACACCGTTTTGAAGCTTGAAGAAGTATGCTTCATTCAACGTTCGAATGTTTAGAAATTAACTTAGTAACAGTAATACAGTTGTTTTCTTCGATGCCGTTGGTGTGTGTCACTGATCGCTTTCCCTGGCTTCCCCAGGAAGTAGATGTAACACGTGCATCTTCAAATACACATATATTATATATCCAGACCGCAAGTAGTCTTTCTTATCGTCGAGTTGAAAGATAGCCGCCTGACGAAAACCAGGCTTTCAAACGGTACACACACTCACTCTAGAGTTATCTCCCTTTGACCAGATGTTACATGTTACAATTCTATCGTTTTGTCTTGCAGTTCGAGATTCTTCGAGGTGGTTTGTAAATCATAGGGGAAGAATGAATCTCGTTAGACCTGAGTGTGTGGTTGTTAGAAGATGTTGTGTGGTACAGAGACTGTTCAATTTCAGTTGAATGTGTTAAATAGTCAGAAAGGCAGACACAGTATAGATTCCTGTAACACCTGTTGTTAAATCGACACGTTTAGTGTGACACGTATCAAATGTTGTATGATAAATTTGTTTTGGAAAATAACAACATACTTTAAAACTTATAAAATATTGCCTTGTCGTATTGTTGCATTCGGTAAAAGCAAAACATAAAGCGGTACAATTCTACAAAATGTCTAAATATTTGATGCGTGTGGGCATGCTTGTGTCCAGGATGCAGTGTCCCTTTTGGTGTTTCGTAGACTTGGTTCCGTCTATTAGCATCGCAAGTGGACGGTGCGCAGGGAGAGACGGCAACCATCTTATTGACTTATTGTTTTGACGTAACAGACACATGACGTCATAAACACTTGACGTCACACAAAGGATAGGTTTGCATGAAGTCACTTTATTACGCTTGACTACAGTGTAGGAGTGTTTTCTCTTCACGGAAGTTGTTTTGCAGCGATTTAATCCAAAAACGTGTTCCTTTTGAAATCGGTTTGCAAGACCTTGCCTGATATGGACTCTGGTAAGTATCCTCCATTGTGATTCATCAGTCGAAATAAACATATACGACTTAAATGTTTAGTTTGATTATCTGAAGCGGAGTACTTTTAAAGAAAACATAAAATTGCTGTAACTTAATTTAGCTCACCATGTGTCGTGATTGTTCATGTCTTAAATATATGATCAAATCAGTTATAAAGATTCCGTTTCAATCTCTGGTTCAACCTGTCAACAAATTACAGCAGACTTTGTGTATAAATCGCATAGCAGCAGTCATCATTTACGAGCAAGTACGATTGTAATTCATATCATTTTGTATTTTTATCCTTGGTGTTTATAAATTCCCATTTTACACGATTATGGTCGTGCATCAACGTTGAAGTAACATGACATTTGGTCTTTAGATCCTCGTCACGCTGAAGATGTCCACAACGCGGCAGCAGAACTGTGGCGGAAGTATTTGTTCAAGGGGCGACTGGTTGAGCCCGTGTCCAGTCCAACATCTCCCGTGGATGTTCCGTCTTTCCCTCGCCATCAGTGCCACCTTGCGGACTGGCAGTTTCCTCTTCAATCCTCAAATGGAATTCTCCGCTCACTCCCACAGGACCCGTTCCTCGGCCTGACAATCCGTGGCTACTTGTTCCGAGGAGTCATAAACTCAGGTGGATCAGCTACTATATACAATGTGTTTAAAGATGGCAAGGTGTTTGCAGCGAAAGTGTCCCACCCAAGAAACACCAACCCAAGTGAACCATCAAAATTATGGGCCAATGAATTCAACATGCTCAATCAGCTTCAGCACAATAACATTATCAGGGCCTATGAAATATTTGAACACAAGGGACGCCAGGTCTTGATACTCGAGTATGTCGGCGGATGTAACCTGGCGGAATTCATGACCAGGAGGGGCGTGGCTGGGACACAAAGGGCGATCAAGAAAATCATGAAACAAGTTTTGGAAGTTCTTCAATATCTCCATAAACATAACGTCGCCCATCGGGACATAACACCATCCCACATTCTCATTGGACAGAGTGGAAAGGTCAAAATAATAAACTTTGGCGACGCGACCAGGCTTGGCACAAACAGCTCTTATCTTAACCGCGAGACAGAAGAACATTATCCACAAAACGAGTCAACGAATGTTCAAGATGATATTATCAAGTCATTTGATATATGGAAGTTTGGGGCGTCTATATATGAAACCCTGTCAGGGAAAACACCTCACTTTATGAGACCAAACCACAGTAAGCTGGACGTATCTGCCATTCACAGAGCTGACAAACAGCTGATGTCGCTCATGAAGAAGTGTTTGGATGTGAATCCCTTGTCTCGAATTACAGCAAAACTTGCTCTAAAACATGACTATTTCAAACGGTTTTTCAATTAATTCCCTAACCTTATTCTAACTTTACAAATTCAATTCAAATTGTTACAGTACACAATGTCATGTCAATCCTCTTCTGCCTAATCAGTAAAATCCTTAATTAAAATGTAAATTTCTGTTCATTATAAACTTTGTAGTGGAATGTTTCCGGACGAGATGCTGTCACTGTTTTATTGGAATATCAGTTGTTTGTGAACCAATACAATCAAACACATCAGTTCTGTGTTTTGTTCTTCGTTCAATCCAATCCAGCTCACTCACTCATTCATTCAATCCTATAACGATCCCATGTGACATGTGACCCAGGTGTGAGTGACTGTTGTGTACCACCGCATCACGCAATAGTCAGTAGAAGAGTGAGTGAGTGAGTTTAGTTTTACGTCGCACACGCCAATATTCCAGCTATATGGCGGCGGTCTGTAAATAATCGAGTCTGGACCAGACAATCCAGGGATCAACAGCATGAGCATCGATCTACGCAATTGGGATACGATGACATGTGTCAACCCAGTCAGCGAGCCTGACCACCCGATCACGTTAGTTGCCTCTTACGACAAGCATGGGTTACTGAAGACAGATTCTAACCCGGACCTTCACGGGTCTAGAAAAGTGTGATATCGAAGACAGGAAACTCTTTGCTTGTTTGTTTGGCTGTTGTTTAACACAGCAGCTCTATTATGGAGGCAGTCTGGACCAGACAATCCAGAAATCAACAGCATGAGCATCGATCTACGCAATTGGGATACGATGACATGTGTCAACCCAGTCAGCGAACCTGACCACCCAATCCCGTTAGTCGCCTCTTACAACAAGCTTGGGTTGCTGAAGACCATTTCTTCTGAAATCTATTCTTGAGTGAGTGAGTGAGTTACGTTTTACGCCGCTTTTAGCAATATTCCAGCTATATCACGGCGGGAGACACCAGAAATGGGCTTCACACATTGTACCCATGTGGGGAATCGGGGTCTTCGGCATGACGAGCGAACGCTTTAACCACTTGACTACCCCACCGCCCCTATTCTTGATCAAAGAGTACTTAATAGTTTACGAACAATGATCTCCACCGTTGGGTACAAATAGACCCAATGAACCAAGTCAAGGGATGTTACCTCCTGGGCTTAGCAAAATGGTATTTTATCGGAAACAATTGTCCCAGAGAGTGTTTGAAGAAACTGATTGTGTCTCTATCATTATTGCAAGCTGTTTTTCATAAATATTGAGGCTCATATCATTTTCAATTTCTGACAAAATGTCTTGATAAGCTGCAGATATAGATACACGCACACGCACACGCACGCACACGCACACGCACACACAACCTATACATTACAGCAAATATGCCTTCTGTAGTGAAATGTAAATTTAATTTCTATTTTGTATGATTTTGTTTACACTATGCGTAGGTGATAACCTGGGTACCCTTTCATGTTATATACTACTCACACTTTGCTAAGGATCACAAAAATTCCCAACTGTACTTAAACATTGATTTATAATTTGAAATTGTATCGAACTAGATAAATAAATAATGATATGGTAGCCCCTCTTTAGGCAACAACCACTTTAATCTAAACGTATGCACTTGATACGCGAGTAACCATAAAAATGGTTTTCATGGCACCAATCAACACCTGTGAATAGCAGGTATGGGTTCCACAAGATGCAGTGACATACTGAAACCTAGGATCCATGCTTACAATAAGCTTAGATATTTAAACCAAATTAGACCCCACATCAGAGTTTTCTGTTGAATCAATGGTTTGATCCTTAGCAAAGTGTGAATAGTATAGTTGACGTATGTCTAAAATAGTGGTAAAATCTCGCTGCTTCAGATCAGTCCCTGGAACGGACTCTCAAAACTGCACGTTTGGATACTTGTATCTATAAAGTCGCGGCGGTTTTATCAAACGAATCGCTCATAAAATCATTCGTGTCAACGCGGATTGTTCCTCATAGGTTTCAATTGTATAGGTGAAGGCAGTGAAATCTAGTTAACATTACTTGTGAAAAGGCGTCTTTACATATGATATATTTAACCTGCTTTACAGCCGACGTATTTATAGATTCAATCCCCTCTGAACTGGAGCTGGCATCCAGCAGATTGGTAGAACTCAAAATCCAAAGATTTCGTTTTTGTCGGTGAGAATACTGAATCATGCCTGTCTTTCAGATGTCCACTAAACTTTCAGGTTTCATATTTGTTTTGTTTTTTTAGCGAGAAATCTTTGCGCGTTTCCAGGTAAAGCCAGACCTCCGAAATCTCAGTTCGTGTTTGTGGACATCATCATGTTGGGTCACGTGATTGGCAGATACACACTTGTGGCCTACTCTTTGTGGCACAAGTCATCCCAACACAATCAATACATCAGAATAGCGTCATTGTCCAGCCATCAAGCGGAAAGCACCATCAACAGCTGCTGTTCAGCCGTAGTACATGAAGCTCGAGTAGGCAGGCCTGTTTTTCTCTATTACCCGTGACGATCCGGGTTAGAACTGGTCTTCTGTAGTCCATGCTTGTCGTTAGAAGCGACTAACGGGATCGGGTGGTCAGGCTCACTAACTTGGTCCCAACTGCGTAGGTCGATGCTCATGCTGTTGGCCACTGGATTGTCTGGCCCAGACTCGATTGTTTACAGACCGCCTCCATAATTAGCAGGAATATGTCTGAGTGCGGCGTTACACAAGTCTTCTCTCTATACACCTTTTGTATCATAGCATTTCCCCTGTTATCTGTCAGTCTTTCTATGTCTCTGTTTCTAATAATTGCTTGTGATGTAATTAGTTATTGTAAATATCTTCGGAGAGGGGTTTACTAAGTTGAAAGAACTTGTCCCCGATCCTTTTCACACTGTGAATAAAATATGTTTAAACTAAACTACACAACAGACAATCAAATTCGCCTCTTTGTTATTCCTTGACGCGACAGTCGACATTAGCGAAGGAAACAAAAGCGCGAAATATAATCAGCTGACCATATTCTCAGTATGGAACATTGAATAAGTAATACTACACATTTGGTTTCTCCTTCATTTACGCAATATCTTGTTGTGCTTATTTGTGTGGTGGAAGTGAAGAAGGACAGGGAGTCATCCCATTCTTACCTTGTCAGCTTGCTGACGGGGTTAACCTCTTTGGTCATGTGGACAAGGCGTTCGACTTCGGATCAGACTGACTGACTGACTGAGTTTAGTTTTACGCCGCTTTTAGCAATATTCCAGCAATATCACGGCGGGGGACACCAGAAATGGGCTTAACATATTGTGCCCATGTGGGGAATCGAACCCGGGTCTTCGGCGTGACGAGCCAACGCTTTAACCACTAGGCTACCCCACCGCCCCACTTCGGATCAGAAGGTCCGTGGTTCTAATCCCAGCACGGGGCTCGGACATTTTATGGCCGCTGCAGAAGCGTAGTCTGAAATGTGAGTCATCAATGGTCCACTGTGATTGATGTGACATTCCCACCTTTTTACTTCATAGCCTCCGTTCATTCGTTGCCTCCCTTAGCAATAATATATTCCTGTTATCGGTTAATCGCAGAGACATACGCACCAACGCGTGCACACAAACACACAAGCACCACATTCCTGAACAGTTGAACTTCTAAAATGGGGATGGATCACTCCTCTAACTGTTGTACTTGATAGGACTTAACGTGAGTGAGTTGTGTGAGTCCTCACTGTTTATCACCATTGTCTTGAGACATACAATACTCTCAATGAAGACTCTCTCTCTCTCCCCCTCTCTCCGCGTGTGTGTGAGGTGGGAGAGGGTTGGGCTGTTCATTCCCGTAAGTCACCTCATTTCGCTCTAGGGGCGGTGGGGTAGCCTAGAGATTAAAGCGTTCGGTCGTCACACCGAAGACCCGGATTCGAATCCCCACATCGAAACCCATTTTTGGTCACCCCACAGTGATATTGCTGGAATATGGCTAAAAGCGGCATAACACTAAACTCACTCACTCTAGACTTGCGTCCCTAAGGTGATGCATGACCCCAGTATGTTAGTTACATGCTGAGTGTCTTTGAGAGGTTTGTCATCAGCATACCCGAGCCCATTAATTCCAACAACCTGCTAAATGTTTAACACCTGCATCCCCCCGGGGATTCCTCCACATGAAACTGACTTCTAGATGGCTACCTGTATGCCAAGAACAAGGTGAAAGGAGAAAATGATGATGTTTACGTGACTTTCTAATAAAGTGTTATCTGTACTCTGACAAACATGTGATGTAACATAATTTGGTGCTTGGTCTCATATGTTTGATAGGTACATGTACATGTATATGAATTATTCTTTTTGATAATATTCACAAGTAAATGTGATCTGGCAAATATATGTTAGTACCTAATGTTGTCTTTTTTATCTGGGCACATACCATTATTATCAAGGGTACAGCTTAATTAAGTCTTATGCAGCCGACCATAAAAGTGTTGGTTTAAGCAGTATGTCTTATGGGAGGTTTGTCTTATGGGAGGTCTGTCTTATGGGAGGTCTGTCTTATGGGAGGTCTGTCTTATGGGAACATACCAAATGACACGTCGAGAAACTTATTAATGCTCTCTGCTGAAATACTATTCAAAGCGGCGGGTTAATCACAACCCAGTACTCACAAACTTCCTTCACGGAGATTCTGCCTTCATAGAAAAACTCGAATTGACTGGTCGGCGTTCTAGAAGTTGTGAGTCAATAATAAGGCACACAACTTTATGAATAACAACTTTTGGTTTATTGCATGGAGCGGTGTTTCGGTGTAGGTTCTTACTCCGTTTTGAAGCTTGAAGAAGTATGCTTCATTCAACGTTAGAATGTTTAGAAATTAACTTAGTAACTGTAACACACTTGTTTTCTTTGATGCCGTTGGTGTGTGTTACTGATCGCTTTCCCTGGCTTCCCCAGGAATCAGATGTAACACGTACATCTTCAAATACACATATATTATCTACCCACACCGCAAGTATTGTTTCTTATCATCGAGTTGAAAGATAGCCGCCTGACGAATACCAGGCGGTACACACACTCACTCTAGAGTTATCTCCCTTTGACCAGATGTTACATGTTACAATTCTATCGTTTTGTCTTGCAGTTCGAGATTCTTCGAGGTGGTTTGTAAATCATAGGGGAAGAATGAATCTCGTTAGACCTGAGTGTGTGGTTGTTAGAAGATGTTGTGTGGTACAGAGACTGTTCAATTTCAGTTGAATGTGTTAAATAGTCAGAAAGGCAGACACAGTATAGATCCTGTAACACCTGTTGTTAAATCGACACGTTTAGTGTGACACGTATCAAATGTTGTATGATAAATTTGTTTGGGAAAATAACAAGAGTTGTTTACATCAATCACGTTCTTGAACATCGATTGTTTCACGTATGGATGATTCAGGTCACTTATGTTGCATTGTGACAGTGCTCATATATCGATTGCTTGATGCATAAATTATTCTGGTACAAAAATATGAGAGATCACATGGGACATTCCACCAATATCAAATACGTGACGTGACCGTGGCAAGGTCCGTATCATCTATAAAAGGCACCAAGTTCGCTATACCTATCAGTTGGTTATACGGGATTGGATTTGCACATATACCATATAGTAAAGTAGACGGGATATGTAAGCAATATACCCACACTTTGCGAGACCAGTGCATCGGTCGATATACCATATAGTAAAGTAGACGGGATATGTAAGCAATATACCCACACTTTGCGAGACCAGTGCATCGGTCGATATACCATATAGTAAAGTAGACGGGATATGTAAGCAATATACCCACACTTTGCGAGACCAGTGCATCGGTCGATATACCATATAGTAAAGTAGACGGGATATGTAAGCAATATACCCACACTTTGCGAGGCCAGTGCATCGGTCGATATACCATATAGTAAAGTAGACGGGATATGTAAGCAATATACCCACACTTTGCGAGACCAGTGCATCGGTCGATATACCATATAGTAAAGTAGACGGGATATGTAAGCAATATACCCACACTTTGCGAGACTTTGCGAGACCGGGATATGTAAGCAATATATCCACACTTTGCGAGACCAGTGCATCGGTCGATATACCATATAGTAAAGTAGACGGGATATGTAAGCAATAAACCCACACTTTGCGAGAGACCAGTGCATGCGATATACCATATAGTAAAGTAGACGGGATATGTAAGCAATATACCCACACTTTGCGAGACCAGTGCATCGGTCGATATACCATATAGTAAAGTAGACGGGATATGTAAGCAATATACCCACACTTTGCGAGACCAGTGCATCGGTCGATATACCATATAGTAAAGTAGACGGGATATGTAGGCAATATACCCACACTAGGCCAGTGCATCGGTCGATATCCCGAATCGGGGCCTCTCTGGTCGAATTGCCATTGAAAACTCCCAACACATTTTGTTTCGTATCCAAATTAGACATTTTAGTTATTTATATAACAAGTTCTTTTTCCTTTCAATTCTAACGTTAAGACCTTCAGATATCTTCAATCGCGGCAGTCAAACAGGAGCAAGTCCAAAATATACTTGCACAAGTGCCGACAAAGTTATTGATTCATTAACCTGTGCTGTGCCGTCTCCATCCTTTCTCGCACACCTGGCTGTCCCTTTCCCTGCACTCCTACCTCGTAACAAATAGTGAACTGTGTCAATATTTTAATGATAGTTTGTTAAACAACTTTCTTAATTTTGGGACATAAATTCTGCAAACAAATCACAAAGTTGGTCTGATGTTTTGATTATGATCAGCGTTTCATTGAGTATTATATGATTATTAGTTTTTGAGTTAGATTGCAATTCATCGGTCCGCTTTTGAGCTAAACGGACTATACGCAGTAGTGCATGTATAGTGAGTTAAGTTGGGGGGGGGATGGGTATGTGTGTGTGTTCCAGCACGATGGAGGAAACTTCGAGGTTGGCTTCAGACATTGTACTCATTTAGGTAATAGAACCCGGATCTTCGGCTACCGCTTTAACCCCCGCCCCAGGTGCATGTACAGTGTTCCTGCCTGGTACACCGCGGCAGTTGGGGCAGCCTTTGTTTCAGGACATACGGCACCGAGCGGAATACAGTTTCGGTTCCTTTACCCATGTTTAACGAAGGATGTTCTTTATGAGCATTGGCGGATCCGCGGGAGTGCTCATCTCCACCCAAAAACTTTCCCTGAGGAGTATTTCCCCCTAACTTGTGGACTTCGTGATTCATGTGTACCCATATAACACATCGCCATATTGCTGAGTGCGGCGTTAAACAACGAACTAACTAAACATGCGCACTATTAATGGAAAAGTGAATATGAATTATGAATATGTTGCACTGTCTGTTTTACACCTTTTAGATACATACTTTAAACTTATAAAATATTGCCTTGTCGTATTGTTGCATTCGGTAAAAGCAAAACATAAAGCGGTACAATTCTACAAAATGTCTAAATATTTGATGCATGTGTGCATGCTTGTGTCCAGGATGCAGTGTCCCTTTTGGTGTTCCGTAGACTTGGTTCCGTCTATTAGCATCGCAAGTGGACGGTGCGCAGGGAGAGACGGCAACCATCTTATTGACTTATTGTTTTGACGTAACAGACACATGACGTCATAAACACTTGACGTCACACAAAGGATAGGTTTGCATGAAGTCACTTTATTACGCTTGACTACAGTGTAGGAGTGTTTTCTCTTCACGGAAGTTGTTTTGCAGTGATTTAATCCAAAAACGTGTTCCTTTTGAAATCGGTTTGCAAGACCTTGCCAGATATGGACTCTGGTAAGTATCCTCCATTGTGATTCATCAGTCGAAATAAACATATACGACTTAAATGTTTAGTTTGATTATCTGAAGCGGAGTACTTTTAAAGAAAACATAAAATTGCTGTAACTTAATTTAGCTCACCATGTGTCGTGATTGTTCATGTCTTAAATATATGATCAAATCAGTTATAAAGATTCCGTTTCAATCTCTGGTTCAACCCTGTCAACAAATTACAGCAGACTGTGTATAAATCGCATAGCAGCAGTCATCATTTACGAGCAAGTACGATTGTAATTCATATCATTTTGTATTTTTATCCTTGGTGTTTATAAATTCCCATTTTACACGATTATGGTCGTGCATCAACGTTGACGCCTTGATGTAATAATTCATGTACATTTCACACAAAAGTAACATGACATTTGGTCTTTAGATCCTCGTCACGCTGAAGATGTCCACAACGCGGCAGCAGAACTGTGGCGGAAGTATTTGTTCAAGGGACGACTGGTTGAACCCGTGTCCAGTCCAACACCTCCCGTGGATGTTCCGTCTTTCCCTCGCCATCAGTGCCACCTTGCGGACTGGCAGTTTCCTCTTCAATCATCAAATGGAATTCTCCGCTCACTCCCACAGGACCCGTTCCTCGGCCTGACAATCCGTGGCTACTTGTTCCGAGGAGTCATAAACTCAGGTGGATCAGCTACTATATACAATGTGTTTAAAGATGGCAAGGTGTTTGCAGCGAAAGTGTCCCACCCAAGAAACACCAACCCAAGTGAACCATCAAAATTATGGGCCAATGAACTCAACATGCTCAATCAGCTTCAGCACAATAACATTATCAGGGCCTATGAAATATTTGAACACAAGGGACGCCAGGTCTTGATACTCGAGTATGTCGGCGGATGTAACCTGGCGGAATTCATGACCAGGAGGGGCGTGGCTGGTTCACAAAGGGCGATCAAGAAAATCATGAAACAAGTTTTGGAAGTTCTTCAATATCTCCATAAACATAACGTCGCCCATCGGGACATAACACCATCCCACATTCTCATTGGACAGAGTGGAAAGGTCAAAATAATAAACTTTGGCCACGCGACCAGGCTTGGCACAAACAGCTCTTATCTTAACCGCGAGACAGAAGAACATTATCCACAGAACGAGTCAACGAATGTTCAAGATGATATTATCAAGTCATTTGATATATGGAAGTTTGGGGCGTCTATATATGAAACCCTGTCAGGGAAAACACCTCACTTTATGAGACCAAACCACAGTAAGCTGGACGTATCTGCCATTCACAGAGCTGACAAACAGCTGATGTCGCTCATGAAGAAGTGTTTGGATGTGAATCCCTTGTCTCGAATTACAGCAAAACTTGCTCTAAAACACGTCTATTTCAAACGGTTTTTCAATTAATTCCCTAACCTTATTCTAACTTCACAAATTCAATTCAAATTGTTACAGTACACAATGTCATGTCAATCCTCTTCTGCCTAATCAGTAAAATCCTTAATTAAAATGTAAATTTCTGTTCATTATAAACTTTGTAGTGGAATGTTTCCGGACGAGATGCTGTCACTGTTTTATTGGAATATCAGTTGTTTGTGAACCAATACAATCAAACACATCAGTTCTGTGTTTTGTTCTTCGTTCAATCCAATCCAGCTCACTCACTCATTCATTCAATCCTATAACGATCCCATGTGACATGTGACCCAGGTGTGAGTGACTGTTGTGTACCACCGCATCACGCAATAGTCAGTAGAAGAGTGAGTGAGTGAGTTTAGTTTTACGTCGCACACGGCAATATTCCAGCTATATGGCGGCGGTCTGTAAATAATCGAGTCTGGACCAGACAATCCAGGGATCAACAGCATGAACATCGAACTACGCAATTGGGATACGATGACATGTGTCAACCCAGTCAGCGAGCCTGACCACCCGATCCCGTTAGTTGCCTCTTACGACAAGCATGGGTTACTGAAGACAGGTTCTAACCCGGACCTTCACGGGTCTAGAAAAGTGTGATATCGAAGACAGGAAACTCTTTGCTTGTTTGTTTGGCTGTTGTTTAACAGAGCAGCTCTATTATGGAGGCGGTCTGGACCAGACAGTCCAGAAATCAACAGCATGAGCATCGATCTACGCAATTGGGATACGATGACATGTGTCAACCCAGTCAGCGAGCCTGACCACCCCATCACGTTAGTCGCCTCATACAACAAGCTTGGGTTGCTGAAGACCATTTCTTCTGAAATCTATTCTTGAGTGAGTGAGTGAGTTAAGTTTTACGCCGCTTTTAGCAATATTCCAGCTATATCACCAGAAATGGGCTTCACACATTGTACCCATGTGGGGAATCGAACCCGGGTCTTCGGCGTGACGAGCCAACGCTTTAACCACTTGACTACCCCACCGCCCCTATTCTTGATCAAAGAGTACTTAATAGTTTGCGAACAATGATCTACACCGTTGGGTACAAATAGACCCAATGAACCAAGTCAAGGGATGTTACCTCCCGGGCTTAGCAAAATGGTATTTTATCGGAAACAATTGTCCCAGAGAGTGTTTGAAGAAACTGACTGTGTCTCTAGCATCATTGCAAGCTGTTATATACTACTCACACTTTGCTAAGGATCACAAACATTCCCAACTGTACTTAAACATTGATATATAATTTGAAATTGTATCCAACTAGATAAATAATGATATGGTAGCCCCTCTTTAGGCAAACAGCCACTTTAATCGAACCTTATGCACTTGATACGTGAGTAACCATAAAAATGGTTTTCATGGCACCAATCAACACCTGTGAATAGCAGGTATGGGTTCCACAAGATGCAGTGACATACTGAAACCTAGGATCCATGCTTACAATAAGCTTAGATATTTAAACCAAATTAGACCCCACATCAGAGTTTTCTGTTGAATCAATGGTTTGATCCTTAGCAAAGTGTGAATAGTATAGTTGACGTATGTCTAAAATAGTGGTAAAATCTCGCTGCTTCAGATCAGTCCCTGGAACGGACTCTCAAAACTGCACGTTTGGATACTTGTATCTATAAAGTCGCGGCGGTTTTATCAAACGAATCGCTCATAAAATCATTCGTGTCAACGCGGATTGTTCCTCATAGGTTTCAATTGTATAGGTGAAGGCAGTGAAATCTAGTTAACATTACTTGTGAAAAGGCGTCTTTACATATGATATATTTAACCTGCTTTACAGCCGACGTATTTATAGATTCAATCCCCTCTGAACTGGAGCTGGCATCCAGCAGATTGGTAGAACTCAAAATCCAAAGATTTCGTTTTTGTCGGTGAGAATACTGAATCATGCCTGTCTTTCAGATGTCCACTAAACTTTCAGGTTTCATATTTGTTTTTTTGGTTTTAAGGAGAAATCTTTGCGCGTTTCCAGGTAAAGCCAGACCTCCGAAATCTCAGTTCGTGTTTGTGGACATCGTCATGTTGTGTCACGTGATTGGCAGATACACACTTGTGGCCTACTCTTTGTGGCACAAGTCATCCCAACACAGTGCAATTCAATACATCAGAATAGCGTCATTGTCCAGCCACCAAGCGGAAGCACCATCAACAGCTGCTCTTCAGCCGTAGTACATGAAGCTCGAGTAGGCAGGCCTGTTTTTCTCTATTACCCGTGACGATCCGGGTTAGAACTGGTCTTCTGTAGTCCATGCTTGTCGTTAGAAGCGACTAACGGGATCGGATGGTCAGGCTCACTAACTTGGTCCCAACTGCGTAGGTCGATGCTCATGCTGTTGGCCACTGGATTGTCTGGCCCAGACTCGATTGTTTACAGACGCCTCCATAATTAGCAGGAATATGGCTGAGTGTGGCGTTATACAACAGACAATCAAATTCGCTTCTTTGATATTCCTTGACGCGACAGTCGACATTAGCGAAGGAAACAAAAGCGCGAAATATAATCAGCTGACCATATTCTCAGTATGGAACATTGAATAAGTAATACTACACATTTGGTTTCTCCTTCATTTACGCAATATCGTGTTGTGCTTTTTTGTGCGGTGGAAGTGTAGCAGGACGGGGAGGGTTAACCTCTTTGGTCATGTGGACAAGGCGTTCGACTTCGGATCAGAAGGTCCGTGGTTCTAATCCCAGCACGGGGCTAGGAAATTTTATGGCCGCTGCAGAAGCGTAGTCTGAAATGTGAGTGATCAATGGTCCACTGTGATTGATGTGACATTCCCACCTTTTTACTTCATAGCCTCCGTTCATTCGTTGCCTCCCTTAGCAATAATATATTCCTGTTATCGGTTAATCGCAGAGACATACGCACCAACGCGTGCACACAAACACACAAGCACCACATTCCTGAACAGTGGAACTTCTACAATGGGGATGGATCACGCCCCCTAACTGTTGTACTTGATAGGACTTAATGTGAGTGAGTTGTGTGAGTTTATTGCCGCTTTGAACAGTATTCCAGTTACGCATGCGCAGAGCATATCCAACCCCAACAGACCCATGACGGTCCGGGTTAGAATATTGATCTTCAGTAACCCATGCTTGTCTTAAGAGGCGACTAACGGGATCGGGTGGTCAGGCTCGCTGACTTGGTTGACACATGTCATCGGTTCCCAATTGCGCACATCGATGCTAATGCTGTTGGTCACTGGACTGTCTGGTCCATACTCGATTATTTACAGACCGCCGCCATATAGCTGGAATATAGCTGAGTGCGGCGTAAAACTAAACTCACTCACTCCAACCCCAACAGAGGAAAAAGCTTGTGATGCCGGGGTTCAAGGGCCAGGTCCTGAAGCAAACCTGAGGCCAACGCATAATTGCAGATTCCCTTCCCGTAATTTTAGTAACTGAAAACGATGTATTCAGACGGTGATTTTAATTTTGGCGTGAGATTTATCAGTTCCGTCGTGAGAGCGAGGCGTGAGTGATAAAAGCGTGAGTCTCAAGCCAAAGGCGTGTGAGTTGGCAGGTCCTATTACGTCAAGACGTGTAAGCGTCAATATAATTGTGCAAAGAAAGTTCAAAGTGATGCTGGTCTTATTCGTTTATCACTCTGGAGATACCCTAGAGCACGGGTATTGTGCTGAAAATCCTGGCAATTTAATGGGTGCACCCGAGATGCGAAAAAAAACCACCACAGGTTTTGGGCATGCCCAAGGGGAGCAACTCTGCTCAGCTTATTGCTGCGCCTTGGGCGACCGAACAGGCTTTAAAACATCACTCCCTGTATAATTTGGATTGTGTTTGGGCAACGGAACGATTAACACAATCGACTCTGTGATGCATCTATTTTTAAGTAAATATTAACGAGGGTAAACTAACCTGGAACAACACAGTGTCTGCAGCGCCGGGCAGATCCATGCTCCCTGTGGATATCAACACATCAGTCTGGGATAATTAATGAGATATTGCCTCCACTTTCTACATACAAGATGAATCAGAAGCTAAATCAGTAATCTCATGAGTAGACCGTCACCTGATTATATTAATATCTTTTCAATCAGAACACAAAGCACACGGCATAGCCAAGGACCATACGTCTTACTTAACGTCATAATAAACACTGACCAATATCGTATAAACCCAGTATATGCCTATTCCACAGCAATATATCGGTAGTAAATCAAATAAATCAATGTTTATTGACAATACATTTTCGTGGACATATTTTTTAATTTCAATCACGCGTTACTATGGATACTGGACGTTATAAGGGTCAATCGCCTTTTTAACAGGAAATGGGAAATTCTTCGCGGTGGTGAAGAGTACGGTTGACGAGGATGGCAATTTAAGAGACATGCTAATTTATCTGTTTTTCGTGATATGAATGTATGTCAGTTTGAGTGGGTGAAGACGATCATGGGATTTAGAGAGTCAATTCTAGGAGACAAAATCTCTGCCTGGCTTTCTCGACCAATCACATCAATATCCTGTCACGTCGAGTGACGTCGCTTGAAGTAGGGCCACTCCACATCAAATCAAGGTATAATTAATATTTGTAGCAGTCACCGTAGGGTCAATATGAGCGAATATATCCTTGCATATCAACCAAGGGTCTGGTATTATAGCGTGCTAAATTGTCGCCAGCAATGATAGACGGAGCAGTGAGTCTCATAGAGGTCTTCTACAAAGCCTATCGCTTCCTGTATTCTCATTTTCATGTAATCCCATTAACGGAAATTATCAACATTCATAAAAAGCACACGCCCCCATAAATAATGAATTTGAAATATCAAGTGTATGTATGGTGTGCTATACACACCAATACCATATGGGTTCGAATCCCATGTTCGTCCCGATCATAATTCTTGGTTTGTCGGCACCTTACACATGATTATCCATAAAGGAAAGAACGCTTTCTACCATTATTTTGGAATGTTGTAAAACGCTAAGATGACGGGCCGTGATATAGTGTTTAAGGTGGGTGAATCCACTCACTCACACACTCATGGTGTCTACCTGTACTGTTAGTTGCGTCTGTTAGATGCATTATATACAATCCCCCCGAAGCACTCATTGTCCTTGATGTGCTTTTTAGTCCTTGAAAATGGTTTACGGACAGGGTCTTCTGCATGACGGGTCTCTGGTGGCGGTTCCATTAGGCGGTTAATAGTATAGATCCTCACCACCCAATGGTTGCTGCGAGACGGCAGTTGATCGTAAAGTGAGTGAGTATGGTTTAATGCCGCTTTTAGCAATATTCAAACAATATCACGGCGGGGGACACCAGAAAATGGGCTTCGCACCTGTTCGTAAGGTGACTGAGTGAGTTTAGTTTTACGCCGCTTTTAGCAATATTCTAACAATATCACGGCGGGGAACACCAGAAAATGGGCTTCGCACCTGTTCGTAAGGTGACTGAGTGAGTTTAGTTTTACGCCGCTTTTAGCAATATTCCAACACTATTACGGCGGGGAACACCATAAATGGGCTTCACACATTGTACCCATGTAGGAAATCAAACCCTGGCTTTGGCGTCAAGAGCTGACGCTTTAACCACTGGGCTACCCCAGCGCCCCTGTTCGTAAAGAGTCCAGGGCGTTGCTGATCACACGTCAACATGACATGAATCGTCGTCCCTGCGTCGTTCTTCCTGCACTGGTGAGTCTATACTAAAATATATATTATTTGCAGGCCGCTATAGTATAGTAACATTCACTCATCACCCAACCTGACTGATAAAGCTACAGTAGTGTAGATTACCGTTAAAAGTATTTCAAACACAGTAGTGATATAGAATCGGAAATACGTCCAACATTATAGATACCTCCAGTCCACCAGACAGCCACATCATGAACGACGCATTTAATACCAACGTCTTTATTGCCGTGTCGTCTAGGAACACATTTCTGTACAGAAAGATTCAATAAAGTTCATGGTATCATCGTAACAGACGGTGTAATGGTAGCCAGGCTATTTCCGTTACTGTCAACAGAACACATTCAGCAACTTAAATAGTTATTGGCAATACAATGACTTTACATCATTCAACGGAGAGGGGAAATATCTGAGTACATGAAGGTAATTATAAATATGGAGATGTACAATAAGCTGTTGGTTTTATAACTGAACCAACTTAAAACTCGTAACGTCTTCCAGTCGCGAAATGTTCAACACTTATCACCGAAATTAGACAAATACTAACAAAACAACTCACTCATTCACTTGCCAATTCATACTGATTAACTTGAATTGAAATGGGTGCGTGATGACTGATATTTTTGGAAAACAGCTATTTCAAAACTGGTAGTAGTAGTAGCTGGAGTAGTAGTAGCTGGATTGTTTGTTTGTTTGTTGTTTAACGTCGCATTCAACAATATTCCAGCTATATGGCGGCCGTCTGTAAATAATCGAGTCTGAACCAGACAATCCAGTGATCAACATCATGAACATCGATCTACGCAGTTGAGATACGATGACATGTGTCAACATGTCATATCAACCAAGGGTCTGGTATTATAGGTGCTAAATTGTCGCCAGCAATGATATATGGAGCAGTGAGTCTCTTAGAGGTCTTCTACAAAGCCTATCGCTTCCTGTATTCTCATTTTCATGTAATCCCATTAACGGAGTTGGGATACGATGACATGTGACTACCTGATCTCGTTAGACGACTCTATAATACGACAAGCATTGGTTGCTGAAGACCAGTCCTAGTAGTATCAGCAACAGCATCAGTAGTAGTAGTAGTAGTAGTAGTAGTAGTAGTAGTAGTAGTAGTAGTAGTAGTACCAGTAGTAGTAGTAACGTAGATATTATTTGTTACGCAATAGCCATAATTACACACTCACTCACTCACTCACTAGAGGCTATGCCATTGCACCATGCATATTCATGTATCCCGGATGATGTATAATTTAAGCAGCCAGTCAGACACAAAACACGTTACAAAAATATACAAATGGAAACGTTAAGTCTTTATACATGGGTAAAGTGTTCTTATAATTAAATTGATTCTTTGTTTTGAATTTTAACATTGTAAACTCAAAAATACCATGTATGTGTATATACAAAACCAAGGCGTCTCATAATTACACGAGATTACGGTCTCATAAAGTCTATCAGTAATCTCGGCAGTGGCTTAGAGAATACAAGTGTATTAACTATTGACAGTCCGGCTGCTGTCTCCTCAAGAGGTTGCGGGGACGCACGTTCTCTTGAGTCACGTTTCACAAATGCACCATTCCGTGATACATATTTTCAGACGTATCTTTCGGTGACTCTTATCTTCTGGAGACTTGGGAACACATTCACAGTTTGTCCATGGATACGTTCACATCAAAACACTGAAATAAAACACTGAGTTTTTGAAAATATTATCAAACAACGTAGTAGTGATAGTGAACGTACATATTGCACATACCCCTCCTCAGGGCACAAAACCATGCCTAGTGATATGTGGGCACAAGCCACGTGGTCACAAACCCATGGTCTGGTGACACGTGGACAAGAAACCCTGCTCTGGTGACACGTCGAATGCTCTGGTGACACGTGGACAAGAACCCCTGCTCTGGTGACACGTCGAATGCTCTTGTTACCCGTGGGCACGAACCCCATGGTCTGGTGACACGTGGATTCGAACCCATGCTCTGGTGACATGAATGCTCTGGTAACACATGGACACAAACACCTGCTCTTGTAACACGTCGACACAAGTGAAGCTGGCGTAAGTTCATCGGACTCCGGTTTATCGCTTAAAACTGTCGTCGCCCTTTACAAATTGACGTTCCTAATATGTACGATCCACTACTGTAATATGTATGTGTAGGTTTAAAGCCAATATGATGACATCACGATGACGGTGTTGGTAGAGATATCCACGTTTTATATGCTTATCACGGCAGATGACAATAGTCATAACTTATGAATATCTGTTTCAGTTAAATCACACATTCGCAGGTTTTTCACAGTTTCTACAGAAGCACATGTGCAGATAGCATCGTCTTTAGTTAGTTTTCGGGTCCTTGAAAATCTGTTTTAGCCACTCAAATTACTCAACCGGCATCACAAACAGCAAATGTAAGGGGAATAACTCTCACTGTATGAGTTTATCATGAATGACTGTTTTGATCATGTCCTTGATCATGCCATATCTCTGCGCCATCATAAAGCGCTTGGAGTGTTCGTAGTTGCGTTCAAGCTTCAGCACAAGATCCCGGATGATGGAACACTTCCGCTTCAGCTCCTTCTTCTGTTCCTGAAGCTTCTCGTTCTCAGACACGATGTCCTCCTTTCTCATCTCTGTAAGAGAAACAAGAATGAAAGTGAGTGAGTTAATATTTAACGTCACATCGGCAATATCTCAGCCATATCGTGACCAAGAGAAACAAGATCCATGAGTGGGTGATATCATATGCTGGACAGTAGAGTACAGTATACCAGTGGGTGATATCATATGCTGGACAGTAGAGTGCAGTATACCAGTGGGTGATATCATATGCTGGACAGTAGAGTACAGAATACCAGTGGGTGATATCATGTGCTGGACAGTAGAGTACAGAATACCAGTGGGTGATATCATATGCTGGACAGTAGAGTACAGAATACCGGTGGGTGATATCATACGTTGGACAGTAGAGTACAGAATACCAGTGCGTGATATCATATATTGAACAGTAGAGTACAGAATACCAGTGGGTGATATCATGTGCTGGACAGTAGAGTACAGAATACCAGTGGGCGATATCATATGCTGGACAGTAGAGTACAGAATACAAGTGGGTGATATCATATGCTGGACAGTAGAGTACAGAATACCAGTAGGCGATATCATATGCTGGACAGTAGAGTACAGAATACCAGTGGGTGATATCATATGCTGGACAGTAGAGTACAGAATACCAGTGGGTGATATCATATGCTGGACAGTAGAGTACAGAATACCAGTGGGTGATATCATATGCTGAATAGTAGAGTACAGAATACCAGTAGGCAAGTGCGTGGTATCACACACTGGACATAATATCGCTAGCTTTCAGTCGGAGGTGTCACATGTGCTATGCGGTGTGATGTGAACACAATTGTTACGTCACTATAGGCTACATGATTATTACCCTCTTTAAATGGCATGTACAGGTGATATACAGGTGATATATGTGAGGTGGGGGATTTATTGACGTCAGTTCTGTAATTTGAGGAACACGACTTATTGTATCTCATACGTATGTGAATGAAGGCAAGGAGGCAGAGCGCTTATACGTGTACATGTGAGTGAGCATGGTTTTACGCCGCGTTTAGCAATATTCCTACAATATCACGGCGGGAGACACCAGAAATGGGCTTCACGCATTATACCCATGTTGGGAATCGAACCCGGGTCTTCGCGTGACGAGCGAACTCTTCAATCACTAGGCTACCCCACCGCCCCCATATTCATGTGACTGCAACAAAGGTGATAAGATAACAAAGGTGAACTCCTATCGAGAAGCCTGTAGTGACCTGGCATGGTATTGCAACTGACAAATGAAAGCCAGGAGTAAATCAAGGCTTAATGAGTACTGATAGGTAATAGGCACTGAGTGGCAATGGGTGACTGATGACAATGGGCGAGTGATGGCAAGGGTGATGGGTAATTAGCACTGATCTGTGATAGTGATAGACATAAAAGCCAAGGTAGTCGTACAAATAATTCAATCAGTATTCCCAAGGGCTGGTCAGATATGTTACCTGGTTAGCGCGCTCAGACAGGTGGACACAGATGGAAACCTCTAGGGACAATAACAATCCACTGTAGGATTTCAACGGTTTGGTTTGTGATTGAATAACACTATCACAGTGATGATACCAATGGTAGCATATTTGTATGTTCTTGATATTGTAGCGTTTCGAGCATACATTACGTATGGCATTCAGCGCTATATAAATGCACATATTGTTTTGTTTTTACCAATTTGATCAGTTATCAAATGCCTTATAAAAAATCTATTAAACAAACATGACCAGTCGCCAAATCTCGTCTTTTCCCGTAACCGCTAAAAAGGCTCGCCTGTAAATGGAGGAAATAGGATAACCCTTGCCTCAGCACAAACACGCTCGCGGATGCATGTTTTTACACGTTATAAGTGTTCACCTCAGATTAAACCTAGCTAGTCTTATATATGTGATGTAACATTTTAAGACTTATTTCATCCTAAATATATTAAAAGATACGTGTGTTCATCAACATTTTTAAAACATGGTTCCAAAAACGGGGCACGTTGGCATCGGTTTTGACAGCTCCGGAACTAGAGTGACCATGAATGTTGACTACAGACGGTAGCTGAATTAGCTATGAATATATCAGTGATCTACTGGGGTTTAATAATATACTACTACTTTTTACGATTTCAGATTTGGCTTTCCTGGCCTTTAACCTTCTGGTATTCACATACGTGGCGTTCTCGCGCCATAACCATCTACGATCACTCTGGTCTTCCTGTCATACTAAACTGACACACCAAGACATGGGGTAGCCATCTGGATGCATGGGTACAATGTGTGAAGCCCTATTTCTTGTGTCCCGCCGTGATATTGCAGGAATATTGCTAAAAGTGGCGTAAAACTAAACTCACTCACCTGGCAAGAACAATGTCAGACTGCTTTAGTAGAATTACTACTGAAGTATTGGAAAACATATACATATGGTAGGGCGGTACATTACACGCTACAACCTCAGTATGAGTTAGAGTATAATGACTGTATTGGTGAGCATTGTTTTAAGCAGTTTTCCAGTAATATCACGGCGGATGACACCAGGCAAAGACTCGAAACGTTGTACCCTTAAGGTTAAACCCGAGGCGGGAAGAGCGGGCGCTTTAACCACAAGGCTACCCAACTGCCCACACTACAGGTTACGGCGGGGTTGTGCGTTAATGAACTCATCAAGGACATTTCAGCGACGGCGAATAAAATCAATATAGCAACTGCTGCAGTAGCCTACAGCTCACGTGGGTGGCTGATGTGGGCGGGACATGAAGATGGACACAACGTGTTTATTGTACAACACTTTTAGAAGACGGTGTTTATATTATTTTGTTTTCATTTAAAATCATTAATTTAGATCAGTTAAGATAATGATCAATAAAACTGGGCCAGTATTTAGATATAATTTGTATTTTAAATGAGGCTCATTGAATTTGTTACGAAATATGTATTGTCCCACATTATGAGAGTGTATCATGCGACTTTCTTTCGTCTCTCGCTAGACTTTTATCACACATATGGATGTTTGTATGCTACAGGGTTTGATCAATTTGGTCGCGTCAGGAACAATGTCTTCAAGATGAAGTGGGCGTCTCAACTTTTCCACTTCAATAGGAATTTCAGATTGGATCCTGTGGTTGTACTAGATTGCTTATTACGTGTCCATTGTTGTTTCTGTCATGTATTGATGAGCTGCAAGTGCAGCCATGTACGGCCACTGAGTGCAGCAGCAACAGTGGTCGGTGGCAACATGTGCAACTCATGCAGGTAATTGCAGTGACTGCACTCCGTGACTTAGGTCTAGTTTGGGGTGAGTGAGTGAGTGGGAGGGTGAGTGAGCGATTGTGTGTAGTGAGTGAGTGGGTGAGTGAGTGTGTATGGTGAGTGAGTGAGTGGGTGGGTTGGGTTTAACGCTGCTTTTATTCCTGCCATAACACAAAAGAGTTTACAATAAATTGTCTTCACACATTAATCCCAGGGGAATCAAAAAACGGGTTGCACAGGACCAAGACGTTTCGCCCATGCAACCATCAATATTAAATTGAAGTGTTATGATACACAGTGATTAACTGATAGTGTTCGTTCCAGGTTAATCAAAACGGCAAAGCTTTTGGAGTTTTCATTTTGGTATTCAGCACAGTAGGAGTTGGAGTGAGTGAGTGAGTATTGTTTTACGCTGCTTTTCGCAATATTCCAGCAATATCACAGCGGGGGACTCCAGAAATGGACTTCACCCATGTGTGGAATCGAACCCGGGCTTTAGGCGTGGCGAGCAAACCACTAGGCTACCCCACCGCCCCTAGAGTGAGTGAGTGGGTTGGGTCTAAGTCCGCTTTGAACAGTATGTTCAGCTATGTCACAGTAAGTCCGCTTGGTGTGAGACTAAAATCACAGGTGAATCATTTCTTAGACGTTTACTGTGAATCCTAAGGGCACAGATATGGTGCTGATAAATATAGAAACGTAATATGAGGAATCTGAAATTCGAACCTACGATATGGGGTTAAAGTTCGTCCAAGGGATGTAACTGTGCATATAGACTTACGACGACCCATGTGTTCCGCCCGATGTTCGAGGTACCACACTTTTTGTCCTCTCATAAAAAAGAGTTTTCCGTAAACATTTGAGTATACCCATAATATCATGCGCTGTTCATGGTGAATCTCCAAGGTTTAAATTGAAAACTCTTATTTCTTAAACATAATAAGGTTTACATTATAAAGACCAAAATATACATTATGTATATTAACCCATGATATAGAAGATTAATGTTAACAGTATTGTTCTAAATGTCAAGGCTACTGTTGTATTATTTCGAAAGGAGTGCCATCAGAGCATGATATGAAATATGAAATAATTGTGCTTGTAATGGGTCTCATGGACTGACTGCGACTTGGCAGTCTGTAGCCTTAGATAATACAAGTGTTCACAGTTTCGCCTCGGACTGGCAGTCATAAAGTACAAAGGGCTTAACAACAGTGTACTATCCAGATTACACGGAAATACCCCTAACTGAGCCAGTTCGACACGACCACGAACAATACGCCGAGAGCCAGTATCAGCCCACGCGTTGTCCAATGCATTGTAAAGTTCATGCATTCCATGTCAAGCAATTACAACCTATAAAATATTCATAAACCGTTTCTTTGGCATTTAGTTATACAAAAGAATATAATTCCGGTTTTAAGTCCAGTGTGAGGACGAATCTCTAATTCAACAGTCATTTTCATGGTTTTATATGTTTAGAACTTTGTATAATAATTCGATTATGAACCTCCCAATCGATGCTGTAGCAGTTGGTGCCACAGCAGGGATAAAGGGTCACTTAGAGGAGCCAGAATATGGTTATTAATGTGATGGATATTAATTTGAATGGACAAAACATGTTACATGACCAAAGACAGAATAATTCGAGAATATATTTCGCTGCAACATGACGTGCCAAGTGCCAATGCTGCCGAGTTTAATAATTCACATTAAGATAATTGCGAGGCATGCTTGTTGTCCTCTGTCTTTGTTGTCCAGCCGTGTGAAAATGAAATATTGTCCGAAGTCGCATAACACAGTGCATGTATATATGCATGTATGTACGTATATATGTATGTATGCATGTATGTACGTATATATGTATGTATGTATGTATGTATGGATGGATGGATGGATGTATGTATGTATGGATGTATGGATGGATGGATGTATGTATGTATGTATGGATGGATGGATGGATGGATGGATGGATGGATGGATGCATGCATGCATGTATGTATTAGTAGCTGAGTTCTCACTCAGTATCTTTATATCTCATGTAGTGCATGCAGTCTGCCTTGTCTGATGGTCGCTATACATGACGTGTATTGACGTGTATTGACGTGTATTTACCTGTATTGACGTGTATTGACGTGTATTTACGTGTATTTACCTGTATTTACGTGTATTTACGTGTATTTACGTGTATTTACGTGCATTTACGTGTATTTACGTGTATATTCTGTGCTTGGTGCCCGTTTCACAAAGCTATAGTAGTTGTAAAGGTCGTGAGAGTATGTTAAAGCATGGCAGTTACGCCAGCCGTAGCTGCGGTCGCTTTGTGAAGTGGGCCGCTTATTATTCACATTTAGAGCATAATTTTACTGACCGATGCGGCTCGTATCTCCAAAAGTCCAATTAGCACTAATAAAGTTCCGGTACGGATGGAACAGATACGCCTCTGCTATAAGCTTCTGTTTCAGATTATGTTATTTGTGAAGACTTGTCCTTGTTACTTATCTTTCATTAATATTGTTATTGTGTATACAGGAGGGAGTGACCTTTTATCAAGGTCAAATTTTACCATTATCCCATTATGTTTAGGTAAATAAAAAAGGTGATAAAAAGGGAGAAAATCACTACCACATATGCTTACGAGGTGTTTGCGGTATTACACATTGAAAGAAAAATGGCAACTTCCTGCAGTTTTCATACTATCAATGTGTCACCTATTTTCCATAGCAAAGGAATTTATCCGAACCTCAATTTAACTTTCTGACTGCATAAAGCTGTAGTATATTCAAACATAATAGACTCATTTTCCATTGCATTTTGTCAGGCGAGGAGGCCCCATATTTGCTTATCAACAACAAAAACAATTGATTTTCCGAATTATCGAGCTGTAAGAATTTTACTGAAACTTGATATTTGCTTTATGACGGGGACACATATTGCACGTGATGCTCGCCTTAATCGTAGCACGTGGATATCTGGAATCAATATTAATGTTCTTCGACTGTCAAATAGCAATACCAGGGTGGGAGGGGTTGGGGGGATAATCCTGCCCCATCGAGGGCTCCCGTCATAAATAAATGTAAAGTTAAGTCAATATTTCACTTGAAACAACACGGCAACATATGATGCAAATTATAATAGAGAATTCCATCGGAAATCATTTTCGTCGAAAAAAATGTGTTCAAAGTATTTTCGATTCGATAATGTTTGCAATGTAATGTATAAATGAAGAAATATTAAGCTAATTTTCAATATGATTCGGGAATATAGGGATGGAAGACATACTGATCATTTAAAAACTTATTCGTGTGTGCACGATGACCTTTTTCTTGGTAAAACGTCCGCTCCAAATGGTTTTGTCCTTGAAGTTAACACTGTGCAATATACTGGATGCAACGCACCACCCTCCCAGACACGCGATGCCAACCACAATCATAGGAAATGCAATAATATTGTCATAACATGCTACCCAAATACACAAAACAATTATTAGGCGAAGTACATAGGTATTACATAGTTTTAATGACATTATCAAGTCTGGGTGTAGAGCAGGCGTGGGTGGAGCCGGGAACTGGGACTAGAACAAGTTTGATCTGTTTTGTCACCAGATCTCTTACATATGCCACTTTCCGTGGAGGCAGCAGTAATCACGTAAAAAATACAAATATCATCAGTGAGTCTGACGTTTCTATAATCCGTTTCTCTATACCCGGTCAGGGTACTAAGACCCAATGTCTAAATACATTTCATAGTACACAGTTTTACAAGTTATACTCAGAAAGAGTGTACAAGATGAATTTCATTTCGAGCTAAAAGAACCCAATCGTTATGAATTAATAATTTTACGTGTACTTGGCGTATTCATTCCTACTTCTTTCTGAATTCAAATATCTACAAGAATTCTAAAGTAACCCAAATAATGCCCACCTTGTTTTGCCAATATACACAACCAATCAAAGGTTTAGACTCACATAAGTGGCTACATTTACACTAGTGAGTCTAAACTTTTGATGGGCAGTATATATTTCTAACTTGTACAGTTAACATGTGGCCTAGCAGTTTCGTCAAACCAAAATTCTGAACTTATCGCATATTTATGTAACTGTCGAGTATTCACGTTGATGGTGTCGAACTAAGTCGACCATATACTCATTTCAACTTGGGAACACGATAAATCTATTATGTATAATGGTATTTCTGATAATTGTTATTACCTCTTTTAAGAAAATAAGGAGTCTACCTATTCACTCATGTTGAGCGTCGGTGTGTGAAGTATTTGAAGAGAACGTGAACGCTGTACTTACTGTTAGTTCTCTCCCCTCGTCTCTTGACGCCCTCGAGCTGCAGGGTGTAGTCCTTGCACCCCTGGACCAGCCCCACAATCCCCTGGGAAGACCCCTGCTGGTCTGGGTCTAGCCGCAGGTGAAGGACGGTACGTTTCACCATCCCTTTCATCTTCTTGTACCTCCGTAAAGGGTCGAAGTCCTTAGATGCCTCGTAATCCCTGGTCAGGTGCTCCACCACCTGCTTCAACTTCTTGTACTCTCTCTGGGCGCCTTCAACCTCGGCAGACAACTGCTCATTCTCCCGCCTTGCTTCGTCCCTGGACGTTCTATCCGCCACAGACGCTGCGAGAAACAAGGAAGACAAACTCATTATCATACACCTGTTTGTCCCCGTCCCATAGTGTATGTTCGCTACGGCAGACTTAAAATATACTCCCAACTTTAACATTAATCAGTGGGAAGACAATCACTGCTGTCCTTTGTGTGTTGTCAATGAGAAGCAGACGACAATCCGAGACTCCGTCGTAAGGTGAGCGTCAACGCTATAAAGGATCAGATGGTTGGTATTAAAACTAATTCCCTGTCGCTCTCTTCTTCTCTTCACAGATTTCATTTGCGGAGAAACAGAGGACGCAATGAGGTCGATTTGGGAGGTAATTGATAGTTAGTCTTCCAGTAAAGCACCAAGCGTAACTCACAGAGCGGATAGTTTCAGTGAAATATAGATGGTTATCTCAGCACGGCCTCCACATCAGCCCCTGTGCATCATCAACAGTCAATCAGCCGTCCCGGTCACAGACTGTCATCGTCCCAAACCACCATGGCACACAGGCCTAGGTAATTGAAACTGTGTTCAACTGTCTCACCTTGTACGTCGTGCATGAAATTGGTCAAAACCGTTCCATTAAACACAAAGCAGAGTTCTGATACGAGTGACCCGAGCTATATTTAGTGAGGGACTTCCCACGCAGTCATATTGGGCCATCCCAGAAAGTTCTGGAATGGTACCACGACGTCTGTAGGTAGATGGGAATCAATATGGAGACCTTTGTTTGGCATTTAAGTTTATGAAGACATCTTGTTCGGGGGGCTGGGAGTGGAGGCATTGGAAATAGAATAACCAGTATCAGACAGCGACGTCGACATGTACGTCGGTAACGCCTTCTGTACTGGTCACATAAGCGCTAGGTTCCGTAGCCACAATGACCCTTACTCTATACTTAATACTGACGAGAAGTCTATTTTGTAAACGGATCTGTTTACAACATCCCTCTATAGCTCATCCACGCCACCTCCAACTCTTTAGTATCCACGCTCATTCTGAATGTCAACAGCGAACTTCGGATCACGTCCACAAATCGGATCAGGACCGTGGGGTATCAACATCCCGACTGTGTTGTGATCGGCGATGTTTCGTTATATATCGTGAACAGGCTCTGTGACGTCACATCGGTTAGGAGTGGTAAATTTCAGAGAACAATTAATAACCACGGCATATGGCAATGTTTATTGGACAGCTTAGAAATATCATAATCGTGGTCAATGTCGTTACATTCCTACAACTGTCAACGAACGACTGGTTTATGACTCAATTAAACCGTCTGATTAATTTGGGACAATCGAAAACAAGACAATCACACGGAAGGTCAATAGGAGATTAAACTCTTATTGACATGCCCCGAGCGAGGAACCGAGGGTTTAAGACGTTCACACAGTTGTGAATTCACATGGCTCGTGGGCCAATCGGAACATACGTATACATCAGGGACAGCCTCGGATAACTATCTGTTAGCGCGGTGATTGGCTGATTGCACCACAGTCATTGCTCTTCGAGATTTGGATCAACGAGGAGCTCTGGGACGCGTAGACTCAGAGATGCAAACATTTAGACACCCAAGTCGTCCATCAAATAAAAGAAGATTTACAACTAGTGCGAGAGCGTTACGGAAACAGCCCAGTGAAGAGACAGATATTTCTACCATAACAGGTTGTATTGAACGTAATGTTGATTATATAGTCTAACTTTACATTGAATGACTCTTACAATGACAGGAATGGGTAATGCTAGTTCTGTAATACAAGTACTGTAAATATTGCGATAGGAAACTGATGCTTCAGAAGCAAAAGCAAGCGTGCTACCACTGAACAAAACAAAATCCCACCAAAAATAGTTTAACACAAAATATAATCATTGCGATCAAATTTACTGTCCCTCGTTGTTATTTCGGTCTTTGGCCGTTATGAAACAAATGTGAAATACTGAACAAAAACAGTCCTGTCGTATTTCGTGCAGTAACAAACTAGTACCCTTCTGGCCAAATGTCTGAGCCTCAATCGAGAACAAAATAGCTCAAAGAGTATTTTGTACTAGTTCGTATTGACCTTCTTAAGCAACATTTCAGACTTGAAAACGAAAGCTATAGAGACAATACTCACCTGACATTATTCATTTTTACATATATATTCATCGATACATGTATAATATACTTTTTTTCCTTTTAAACTAATTTTTGTGGGGGAGTGGGTATATATGCGAAATTGTATTCGTATCGTCACTGTGTGCTCTTCAACGCCCCACTCAGCAGTAGCCCAGTTATGACGCCTGGCTTTAATTAAGGGAGTCTGGACAACCCAATGATAGATATCGTGAGCATGGGTGTACGTATTTGGGATAACCCGCATATTCACCTTGGGTTGTTATTTTTTTTTTAACATATTCCCTCTCTCCCTCCCTCCCTCCCCAACACACACACACACACATTCGTGAACATGAACTTCCCTTTCAACCTCATTCCGCCTGGTAAAAGGTTGGTGTAAAAACAGGTCTTCTCTTTTGAATAAGAGACTACCTACAGACATTGATTATCATCCATATCATGTTTTCTGTGTGTGATTTCTTTCAAGTGTTGAATCTTTTACCGCTTTACATGTTATAAGAGACTTAATTACCATATGATAATTGTTATTTTGAAGAATGAAATGTGTATCGCCGACACAATGTTGAACCTTTTTCTCTTGAAGTTGGTAGCTCTGAGCACTACGCTTACCCTATATTGAATAATCTTTACCACAGTGGTTCACGATCACTATTAAAGGATTCATGCACAGTGAATAGGTGACAATATTAGACATATTTCAGATGAAATTAATTGAACAATATCAACGTGCTGTGAAACAGCTTCCTTGTATAAGAAGCACTATGTTATTTGACAGAACTTACATCCAATTTCGGAATCCCGTCTGTCACCACCAGCGGTTGTCTCCCGTCGAACATCTCTTGACGGGGAGGAAGAGAATTTCTCCACTACGCATGCGCGGATCTGAGAAATATAGTCGATCAGATCCATTTCAAGGGGGCTCCTTACGCATCTCTGTCATCTGAAACATACGACATATATGTAACAGGGTGCAAAATATTGAATTTATTTTGGCATTGTTTTGGTGTTTGGTTTTAATTATAAGCTTTAAAATATCATTAATTTCATAATGAGGTGGTTACCCTCAGGACCACTCATTTGGAGCTTTGCCACCTATGTAAGGGTAGTTCACAGTTCATATTTTATACCAACTGTGCTGATTGGCCTAAAGTTTATGAAGAAGCCTTGAAACTTCTCATTGGCTGTAAGTTGCTGCTCATGGTTTTCATGCAAGGCAAGATGCTCAGTATATTTCATTCTGGTTGGCAACTTCACCAGGGACACATGTTTTGGTCTCGAAGAAACTAAAGATATACTAGCGAAGGCGTTCTGATGAAGCACCCCCAGCCATTTGATTCAGCCCATAGCTGAATTGATCGCGGGTGTTAACCCACGTCTGCCTGGATCAAATAAAGAACTCTGCCCTACGGCTGGTCCTTGTCGTCTGTGGGACTAGCCCGTTTACATATAAACTGATTACATTCTTTATGACCATAATATCGGTTTCATACACTCCTTAATGTTCGGTCAAAGGTAAAGTGAATATCTCGACTTTGACCAAACTTAGCATTACAATGGTTCAGCAATATGATTGCACTGCACTGCCAGAAATGGCACGTTAGTATCTACAACCAGTCAGTGTCGCAATGAAGCAATTATGATATATGTGGGATCCACGACAGGATTGGTTGGTTGGTTGGTTGGTTTTAACTCCACACTCAGCAATATTCCAGCTATATGGCAGTGGTCTGTAAATAATCGAATCTGGACCAGATAATCCAGTGATCAACAGCATGAGCATCGATCTACGCAACTGGGAACCGATCACATGTGTCAACCAACACAGCGAGCCTGACCACCCGATCCCGTTAGTCGCCTCTTAGTCGTTAGTCACAAGCATGGGTGACTGAAGAACAATATTCTAACCCGGACCTTCACAGGCAGGGAGGGATTAGAGTGAGTGAGTGAGTTTAGTTTTACGCCGCACCCAGCAATGCACACCACTGAACTTTTCTGTGTAGGCTGCGTGTTTCTTTATTCATCGAAGCACAGGCATTATGTTATGGTTGTGATTGTTGTTTAACGCCGCACTCAGTTCTAGGGCGGCCATTTGTAAATAACCAAGTCCGGACCAGGTAACAGCATACAGCCTACACTTTCCCTTCTAGGACTTTTCTATTGTTTCTTCAGAACAACAGCTCTTTGGACATTCTGACATCTGTAAAACTCAAACCTCACACTTATTGCAATATCCGGTTAAAGAACTCTTGAAAGTGTTATTTCCATCTTTATAACTTGTACCTCATTTTTAGAATATCACAAGTCTTGTTATAATTATTACCGATTAATAGCACGCGATTGTTGTTATCAATTTACCATTTCACTCAGCTCTGTAAACTTGAAGATGTATACAAGTGTATTTAGTCCAGTTGTGTATGGCACATAAGTGTTTGATTTGAATGTTTTCCCATATTATTCAACATTATGTCGCCAGTAGACTGTCATTCTCGTTGATCCTTGCTTCACTCAGAGAAAAGGGGATGTTTTCTTCCCTTATTCTTCATCGCATGTATCTCTTGCGGAAACTACTTTCAACTACTTGCACTTCGGGGCGGTGGGGTAGCCTAGTGGTTAAAGCGTTTGCTCGTCACGCCAAAGACCCGGGTTCAATTCCCCACATGGGTACATTGTGTGAAGCCCATTTCTGGTTTCCCTCGCCGTGATATTGCTGGAATATTGCTAAACGCGGATTAAAACCATACTCAGTCCCTCACTCACTTGCATTTCAATGAACGGTGCGTGACAAAAGACAATGTGTAGCTTCATAAGTGTTACATTTCACATTTTAGACAGCTTTGACTACTCATTCTTAGGATCTCATAGTATTCGTACAGACTACCAACCTGCTTCACTAAAGCGTCTGTGTGAGCATATGGGCCTGTATATTTTGGCATGATATATTATCTATTATACTTGGGGCAATTCCAAAGGAACATTCAAAACTTGCTGTGGCCGTGACCGCCATATGTTCAACTACCATTGGGGACACCTGCAAAGTTGCGTCCCAAGGGAAGACCAGAAACCTTTGAGTTCGAATCCCGATTTGCCGCAATTGTATTTGCTGGGTTTGTCCGTATCATGCCCGTGCTCGTGGGCTTCATCGGAATAGTAAACGTCACCTGCATTACTGTGGGCCTCCCTCCTACATCAAGCTGACGCGCTGTGATGTATTTGAATTCTGTTCAAAGGTCTTAAACCAATTAACACCTTCTGGATCCGTGAAGATCCGGGTTAGAATTGGTCTTCAGCAACCCATGCATGTCGTAAGAGGCGAGTAACAGGATCAGGTGGGCAGGCTCGCTGACTTTGTTGGCACATGTCATCGTATCCCATTTGCGTAGATCGATGCTCATACTGTTGATCACTTGGTTTACACAGAACCGCCATATAGCTGGAATATTGCTGAGTGCGACGTAAAACAACAAACCAACCTTCTGGTGCAATACATACGACGTCGCTTTAGTGGACAGATCCTGGATGGGCTAGTGACACAGATTGTACAGAATATGCTGGTTACATTGCTAGATGTACAGAATGAACAAATCAGTACTAAATACACATGCCCAAAGAGGGTTAGTTCCCTTGAATGAACAGGCCAATTGTACCTCCCTAGGACTGATTACAGTCCGTTTGAGACAAAATGATACCGATGAATTGCAATCTAACACAAAAAGAAATACATTGGCAACTAAAGGAACAGAGCGAAAAGAGAGATGCGCGTGCGTTAACGGGCCCTCAACAAATCTTTGAGCTGGCGAGATGACACGTACCCCAGCTGCACAGGCAGTGCGCTGTATGTACTTTGTAATTGCATACTTGGGTCACCCCCTGTCACTTTCATCCTTGAAGAAATCATAGACTTTGTAAATTATAGACTTTCATTTTCTCTCACTTTGTCAATCAGCAGTAATCACATGTCTCTGACGTCACTGATGCACGTGCATCTCGCGTTTCGCGCTGTTCCTTTAGTTGCCAATGTGCCCTTGTAACGAACTTGGAAAACGCACAAATAAATGATGACAGTTTCTTAAACAACTTTTTTAATTTTGTGACACAAATTATGCAAAATTTTTCTAGAGTTGGTCTGTTGTGTTTATAGCAGTCCGCGTTGGTTTGATTCTTTTATGTCTATTTGTTTTTGTGTTAGACTGCAATTCATCGGTATCATTTTGTCTCAAACAGACTGTATAGTTGTACAGACTGAAAGCCTACGCTGAGTTAGCTTTCTTGAAAGTACAGATGTTGTACAAAGCGATCTTAGTTAGCGCTAAGGTGATCGTAACTCACATACCTTAACATGGGCGTACGACCGTGGTAGCGCTAAGGTTGCTCTGTACACCTTCACCCAGGACTAGGACGGGTTAGTTATACAGAATATACAGTCCCAGGTCGGACTGGGATGTAATAGCCAGTGGGTAGTAGAGCTGATGGGCTACTCATCAAAATCAATATACAGTCTTTGTTCCTGATGTCATTAACACACTAGCTGTCAGGCCTAGACGGGGTTATGTCATTACATCACATTAATGTGCTGTTAACGTACTAATCTACCGCTATTGACGACACCGCATCTACGTGACGAGGATGGAGAATATTGCAGACACGTTTGGCAGAGAAGCGTGGAACGGATTTTGAGCGATGGCAATGTATGCAGGCATCGCCTCAACGAGGGAGATTGGATAACGTCAACAAAACAAAATGAGTTTCTCCAACGCCTAGGATGAACACACCAAAGAAATGTATACAGAATATTATAACTGAGACACACACAGAGAAAGAGAGAGAAAAAAAAAGGAGGGGGGGGGAGGGGAGAACTAGTTATTAGTTGACATAGCGTCTATTACCGAACTGCCCAGTCTCTGGGGTTTTGGTACCATCGAGTCAATGGTACGATAAATACAAAAGATGACAGGGATGTCTCAAAAACAAGACGTTAAAGGCTATTAGCTTTGACAAAGTGTGATCATATGTACAGTGAATGTACAAGCTTCGTGAGCAGCAGGTACCCCCAACAACATGTAGCAGATTTCGGGAGGATTCGAAGGTACACAAAATATTTGGCGGACAATAGTAATTATTGCTTTTCATTAGATTTGATTTCAACACACTACAAGTGGCGACGATCGAACTATTGTCGGGTAAAAATATTCTGTCGTCTCTATGAGACCACCATTCGTGATTATCGCGGGAATTCAACGGGATAATTAACTTTGATGAAGCCGGGATGAATAAGAATCATTCCACTCACCACTTGTGTCTGCTGTCAGAGGGAAGCACCTATGGTTCTATCAGGTGAAGGTAATCGTGTCCCTGCTTTGCACACGGGACCCAGGATGGAAATAGACAACTGGTGGCAATGAATGATGATGTATTCACGGATTACTTGGAACATCAGCTACTGGGCAGTCTGAACAACTCTAGTGTCACCAAGCATGCAAATTTATCGCCTTTACAAACAACAATCAGTCCACATTTTTACATTTTGGTCCTCTTTCCACACGCTATTTTTAGACTTGTAGTTCAACATTTAATTGTAAACTTTAAAGAGTACACTTTAATGTAAAAATGATTTAAGCCTAGCAGGTGATTAGAAACAGTCAAACATGCAGTACACGTTTCCATACACTGTACTATGTATACTTATGTACATGTAAACATCTGTTGAGAAATAATGGGTAATGTTAAATTACTTATACCTTGCGTGTTACCAGATGCAGTCAAACATACACAAGTTGTAATATATATACAATACGAAATAACATTATATATCGAGGCCTACTTATGTAATATGTAGTTATGCCTACTTATCTATATGTAATATCTGCAAAGAAAGAATGGTCAATGTAACACCGACTAAGGCCCTATGCCAAACCTGTAACAACTATCTAGATATGTATGCCTTGTATATGTGAACATTTATACATAATTATAATGTCATATAAACATGTACTGGGAAATAAAAAACTCTAGTGTCACTGTCTGTGGTAACTCTTGTCACAAACAACGTACAGGGACCACAATGTGACACTAACCATAGACAAGCTGGGGGTCATGCAAGAATATATGACATCCTGCAATGTTGACGAAGGTCCAACTCATGGAGAAAATTCACCTGAATACGAAACCAGTAAAGTACAGGACATATGTCCTGATGACAAAACATGGTCACATTGTCACTCTTCTCAAATGGGGCGGTGGGGTAGCCTAGTGGTTAAAGCGTTGGCTCGTCACACCGAAGACCCGGTTTCGAATCCCCACATGGGTACAATGTGTGAAGCCCATTTCTGGTGTCCCCCGCCGTGATATTGCTGGAATATTGCTAAAAGCGGCGTAAAACCAAACTCAGTCAGTCAGTCTTCTCAAATGGTCGATCAACACAGCCTTTTGCTAGAATCACAGTCTAAGTCCGAATGATCACGTTCTTGAAAAAAACGTCAGTCCCGTCAACGTGGCAGCGTAGATAGCAGCCTTGTTGGACCAGTTATTATACCTTAGTATAGTACAGGTTTAGATACGTCAGATGCTAAGACAAATACTGGGTAAACAACAACAAACTGATATTTACAACCTTCCTCATTCCATTTCAGAGCTTTTAACTATTACATTATTTTCCAAGTATAGATAATGCATTACATTTAATTTCTACCTCTTGTATAAAGTACAAAGACAATAATATACTGAGACAACACCCAACTCAGGTGACAGTTGCACCAGGATACAGGGTCATCACCGACAGGTGTCAGGTAATTAATTACCTCAAGCTTCAGGCATGCTATGCATAACAACAAACTCAAAGTTTCTTTGTCATAAATGTTCCGGAAAAAGTACATTTCCAGGCTGATCCCAGTGTCAGTAAGGATATTTTGACATATGTGATTTTCATAGCCCTGTTAATCTGGCCTGGGGGGCGTATTTGAACATTCCCGATAGTACCTTTTATAAAATCACAAATTTTGTAGCCTAATATGGCTACCATACGGGACTGGGGATATGGCGCCCACCGTTTTCAGCAGTCGCACGTCGGACCGTCGTATTCTAATAGATACTTTAAACATCAAATCCTGTTCTGAAGACGTATTGGTCACGAACCTTAATCTTGTTAAACTATGTTATTACATAACACTTCGAAACCACCAAGATCAACTGAAAAATAGCGCGATAGTTGGTTTGTTCTTTGTTTAACGCCGCACTCAGCGATATTCCAGCTATATGGCGGCGGTCTGCAAATAACCGAGTCTGGACCAGACAATCCAGTGAAGAGCATTGATCTACGCAATTGGGATACGATGACATGTGCCAACCAAGTCAGCGAGTCTGACCACACGATCCCGTTAGTCGCCTCTTACGACAAGCATGGGTTGCCGAAGACCAATTCTAGCCCGGATCTTCACAGGTCATCGCGATAGTGAACCGTATTACGATCTAGTTGATTGTTCATTTTACACTAACTATACCCGTTATTACTGGCATTATCTCTAGACTTAGATCTCTAGATAGCGTTATTGGGAGTGTGCTGAACTATGAGTAGGTTGCTCTCGAGGCTCTCTGGGGGTGGCTCTACGTGATCGTCATACAGCTTCAAGAGTATTCCACACTCCTGCATCTACAGGGCCCATCCGCTTCTTTAATGACACCTGTTTTCATCTAAGATGACATAAATAACCCTTGTGTTCTCCTCACTGGTAGTTTCTGTGCATGAAGTAATATTTCTATATTCTGAATATTTCTATTTATAAATTTGTATTGATATTAGATACTATTATGTTTTCGTGCGATATATTTGGACATTGGTAAGTTACACGTTAATGGTGCACCTGGGCGTTTGTTTAATTGAACAAGATCTGCTTACCCTTTTTGCGGACACCTGGTGTTATTAGTGATGTTTCAGTGATGGATTCATATAAGTTTCTAACACCATTTTCACCTCTTACGCCCAGTGAGGCATGTTTCAGCAAATGGGCATCAAAACATTGGTGTCATAGATTTAATTCTATATCATTTTGCCCCCAGCTCCCTTTGGCGTTGATGTTTCGTTATTAGTGGTTCAGTCATCTAGTCTACTAATATGGAACCAGGGCGGTGGGGTAGCCTAATGGTTAAAGTGTTCGCTTGTCACGCCGAATATCCGGGTTCGATTCCCCACATGGGTACAATGTGTGAAGCCTATTTCTGGTGTCCCTAGCCGTGATATTGCTGGAATAATGCTTAAGCGGCGTAAAACCATACTCACTCACTACTATGGGACCAGTGTAGAGATTAGAGGCTGTTTGTCTTCCTAAGCTGATTGTGGTCACCATGGCTTACATTGAAATAGTCGCTGTGCGCTTATACTTCATCCCAGAGTGTTCAGCAACAACATGTTAACAGCATGTGTTTGTTTATGGATTTTCTGGGACAGGTGCGCGGCTTCTGTAGCTAAATTGGAACAAGAAAAATAAGTCCTACGCATGTCATTGCATATAAGCGACAGTGATCTGACAACAGCTCCGCGTGGTATTACAAGTATTAATATTTCCTGTTTATTTAACTGGTATCACTGCCACTGTTGAAAACACACACGTTTTCATAACAAACATCTGTCCATCCGAGAACGTTATGCCAATAACATGAACGTTAGTAAACAGGAAAATGTCACCAAATGTTACCACGATAGTGACCTTGATTTCCGGTAACATAGCGGCGGAAACGTATATTATATTATAAAGGAAACATATTTCATTGACCCAGAAGATCAAACCTTTGCTTTATTAAATGCATTGGTCACAATTGTTTTGTATTATTTTAATTAGTACATAAACATAAATTTGAGTTTTATAAATAATTCTAACGTTGATTTAAAACCGAAAATGTAGAGCTGTTATAATTTCCTTACATACCTCTGATGTTCCAACACTTTATGTCTATCTTCATTCTACCATAACCGCGTTATTAAGATTTTAAAAATACATACTATGTTGGAAAATCAGAGGTATATACCACGGTGATTATATACCTCTGAATGACTTTAAATAACCAATCACAATCTAGTGTCCAGGGGCTCCTTCCACGAAGCAACCTTTACTAAGGTTAACCTTAACTCCCATTCTTTAACATTGCACTAAGGTTACCTTAGTGACTTACGATCACCTTAGTGTTTTGTGAAAGGAGGTCCAGGCATGGTAGAATAATGCTTATGATGTAATGATTTTGGGTACATGCCCACTAATGGTCTATACACTACGCACGAAAGAAAGTAAACACTTGAAAATGAGATTGGATAGAAACATCATAGACCTCATCCAAAAGGGTTTTGTCTAAAAACAGTCACCGAAATACTGCAATCTTAAGGTTCCAACACAACTATTAAACACTTCAACATCAAACAACCATTTCTGGTCTGTTTCAGCTTTTGTCGTCGACAGTGTATAATTTCTGTGGCTGGGCAGTTGTTCTCCGAAGGATTCAGAACAGAGGACGTTGGTTTAACGCAGCCTTGAACAGTATTTCAGTATGTCATGACATTCTCAGAAAAAAGGACAACATTACCTTGACACAATTTCCATCCTCTCTCAATAAATGCTGTACCTTTCAACAGACATACTTCCACTTGCAGCGTAAGACATGACCAACACGGCATGGCCGTGTGTAACGACGTGAGGATGTCACCAACCACTGGTTGACACTGGTACATGGATGACGTCCTCACCTGCTTAATGTAGCTGGAGGAGTGTTAGCAACAAAATTGAGCTGTTACCGGTTCTACTCATTCAATTTGTGGACTTACTATCTTAGGTTGCCCAGAGTAATGGGGTCCAGTACCAACAGCGGCGTCAAAAGGCTACACGCTGTCCTCGCCACGTAAATAGTCACTGTTACGTAGAATAATTGGAATTTTCAATCAACATACGTTTCCTGGGTTTCCAGTAATCTGCATCACTCCTCAGTGGCCAGATCTTACTTCCTGGAAGAGGAATGCTCTCCCTGTTAATTTCCCCTCAGGACAAATAACCACTGCCACTTAAATAAATCTAACAATCGGTTAAATATAACACGGCATTTTCGTGGGCGTACCTTCAGGTATTTAGACCATCGAGATGGATCGATATTATTCATATATATACAGTATAAGGAAATGGATTTGGCTTTCAAATGTATAGCATGGAATAAGTATGTATAGACACATCCGGTGCAACTGTACGGGATTGATTTGTACATATACGTGAGACAAAGTGGTTTGTGTTGCTATGGTAATGCCACATGTTAGGAGTACACATTGTATTCCGCAAGCCTTTCTATTGTATTTGCGATACGGAAATGCAGAGTGTATAAATATCTGTATCATATAATATTAGTCATATAAATATCTAAGACGATATCTACTGATATTTAAGACGGTATTTCATATTATTGAATAACTTAATAAACCGCGCATGGGATACACTGCCATAATTTATTATGGTGCCGGATTATTTGCTGCCATGTGCGTCTACAGAAACTACAACAGTTGGAAGTCCTCTATGTAAATATATATACTTTAGTCAATGATGACCATGCAGACATGTGATCGATGTCTAGTGATTAAGAGTAGTTGCTTCCAGGTATCTTCATTGTTTATTTTTATTTTTATTTATTTATCAGATCGTGATAGCAGGTTTTTCGATTTACCGCATCGATAAAACTGGCATCCATCATGAGATACACTGATTCTTTTCACACACGGGGCGGTGGCTTAGCCTAGTGGTTAAAGCGTTCGCTCGTCACGCCGAAGACCCGGGTTCGATTCCCTACATGGGTACAATGTATGAAGCCCATTTCTGGTGTCCCCCGCCGTTATATTCCTGGAATATTGCTAAAAGCGGCGTAAAACCACACTCACTCACTTTTCGCACAAAACCATGCGAAGTGGAAATGTCAATTTGCGAAATTGCGAAACATAGCTGACAAGGCTTTCGTCGATAACCGATCACCTTTAGTGTAGAGACTATTGAATGTATCCATCCTGCTTAAAGCAAAATGTCCATGTAGGTCTTTCACCTGCGTTCTTCTATAGGCTTTGGTAAGACCACTGGCACCAGACTGCTGCCCACACCCATGACACCTTGTACACAGCTAACAGTTGATGGTTGACATTTACCTCAGAACAAGTCCAGGTTTAGGGCTCGTTTCCTGTCCCGCAGAGCGAGGAAATGAACAGACATTGTCCCTCGGACGGAGATTGACGTGACTGGCTGCAGTGCTCTGTGTTAGTGCCTAAGCTGGCCGGCTTGGTGTGCTGGAGGTAATGTGTTCTCAAATTCTAATAAGCTTACAGCCAGACGGATCACGTGTGTTTTCAACTAAACACATTCCGTGATTCAGATTGATTTAGGTCCTGATGCCGCATCATCTCGCGACGCAGTCTCTCATACCAAACCGAATCCAATCTCTCCACACTGGAGAATTCCGTGGCTACGTTTGTTCTAATTACTAGTATGCGTCTGTTCAACCGCCATGGGTACCAAGTAGGATGACATAGTAATGTGTATGCAAACCTTCTTGAGCCGAACAGGCAACTTGGTGTGTATTCTCCTCGAGGAGTTCAGATTGTATCCTGAATACAAACTGATCCTTCGACCGGCCTCTGAGTAGAGGTTATAGGGATATATGCATGCAAATACCACTTAGATTTATGGGTGACTGAACTAGCAGACAAAAGAGACTATACACCTCTGTTTAATGGTTACTACAATGAAACAGACAAGGAATGGTTAGTCAATGGTGATAACATAAGATAAACTCTATTGTCCCGCAGGGGAAATTTGTCTTGCATTCAAAGAGCCAATACAATGCCTATAACCACAAATGATAAAGAATCATAATCTAAGTACCATCTGATACTGTGATGATGTTGTAATACTATCTCCAGTACTCTAGAATGATGTCGCGTTGCTATGGCCATTACTCTAGAATCATCTTGCGTTGCTATGGCCATTACTCTAGAATGATCTTGCGTTGCTATGGCAATTACTCTAGAATGATCTTGCGTTGCTATGGCCATTACTCTAGAATGAACTTGCGTTGCTATGGCCATTACTCTAGAATGATGTTGCGTTGCTATGGCCATTACTCTAGAATGATGTTGTGATACCATCTCCATTACTCTAGAATGATGTTGTAATACTATCTCCATTACTCTAGATTGATGTTGCGTTGTTATGGCCATAAGTCTAGAACGATCTTGCGTTGCTATGGCCATTACTCTAGAATTATGTTGCGTTTCTATGGCCATTACTCTAGAATGATGTTGCGTTGCTATGGCCATTACTCTAGAATGATGTTGCGTTGCTATCTCCATTACTCTAGAATGATGTTGTGATACTATCTCCATTACTCTAGAATGATGTTGCGTTGCTATGGCCATTACTCTAGAATGATTTTGCGTTGCTATGGCCATTACTCTAGAATGATGTTGTGATACCATCTCCATTACTCTAGAATGATGTTGTGATACTATCTCCATTACTCTAGAATGATGTTGCGTTGCTATGTCCATTACTCTAGAATGATTTTGCGTTGCTATGGCCATTACTCTAGAATGATGATGTTGTGTGATTACTCTAGAATATCTGATACTATCTCCATTACTCTAGAATGATGTTGTGATACTATCTCCATTACTCTAGAATGATGATACCATCTTACTCTGATATGTTGTGATACTATCTCCATTACTCTATCTCCATTACTCTAGAATGATGTTTGTGATCTCCATCTCCTAGAATGATGTTGTGATACTATCTCCATTACTCTAGAATGATGTTGTGATACCATCTCCATTACTCTAGAATGATGTTGTGATACTATCTCCATCTAGAATGATGTTGTCCATTACTCTAGAATGATGTTGTGATACCATCTCCATTACTCTAGAATGATGTTGTGATACTCCATCTCATTACTCTAGAATGATGTTGTGATACCATCTCCATTACTCTAGAATGATGTTGTGATACTATCTCCATTACTCTAGAATGATGTTGTGATACCATCTCCATTACTCTAGAATGATGTTGTGATACCATCTCCATTACTCTAGAATGATGTTGTGATACCATCTCCATTACTCTAGAATGATGTTGTGATACCATCTCCATTACTCTAGAATGATGTTGTGATACTATCTCCATTACTCTAGAATGATGTTGTGATACTATCTCCATTACTCTAGAATGATGTTGTGATACTATCTCCATTACTCTAGAATGATGTTGTGATACCATCTCCATTACTCTAGAATGATGTTGTGATACCATCTCCATTATTCTAGAATGATGTTGTGATACCATCTCCATTACTCTAGAATGATGTTGTGATACTATCTCCATTACTCTAGAATGATGTTGTGATACCATCTCCATTACTCTAGGATGATGTTGTGATACCATCTCCATTACTCTAGAATGATGTTGTGATACCATCTCCATTACTCTAGAATGATGTTGTGATACTATCTCCATTACTCTAGAATGATGTTGTGATACCATCTCCATTATTCTAGAATGATGTTGTAATACTATCTCCATTACTCTAGAATGATGTTGTGATACCATCTCCATTACTCTAGAATGATGTTGTGATACTATCTCCATTACTCTATAATGATGTTGTGTTGCTATCGCCATTACAACTTACAATTCAAGATTGGCCTTAATGATGATTCTTAGTTACCATACTTACCTATGCTGTTGTTACCATCAAACATATGTGTCACTGTGGTAGTTTCAACCCAGCCGACTCACACGAAAGTTTCTTACAACGATATTTCAGATGTTATATTTATATTTAAGATATAGTGAAACCAGTGCCGTCTTACCTTCACTGTTAGGAAGCCTCAGACATGCTAGAGCCAGTTCTCACACTGTAGCTCGTCTGATGTTAATTAGTGCACCAGTACCCGGACAGCTGAAAGAGACAGTTGAGTCTTACTGACTTATAGATCTGTGACCGCTGGAAGGTGAAAACAATTATCGATAAACGGAATGACTTGAAACATGTTTTTCACAATAATTTTGAAGTGTGTTTGAATGTTGTTTTTAAACATCAATTGTTTACGCTTTTCACGAACACCGGGTGTTATTATTGACTTCAGTAATCGGGTGCTATTCCGTTCATCACAAAGGAATCTGTTTCGGTGGATAATGGAGGCAGTCTACGCTTGTCCATAAAATGGCCGGTCTTTCAAGTGTTAATGCCATAATGGTATTCCAGCTATATTATTCTAAAATATGGGGGTTCAAACGTGGTTTAAGTACGCATCGTGCAGTAATAACATAAACATACATCTATGTCACACTGATTTGACTTGTGTTTGTGACCTGACCTCGGACACCCGGTGTCGTCACTATTTGACAGTGATTCATTAACACATGTCCATGATATAGCCGGACTCGTACAATAGAAGAAGTTATGCCCCTTTTAGAGCCATACGTTATGTGTTTAATAGGTTTATATAATTGTCATTACAAACTAAAATGTTTTTTCTTCTGTCTTCGACACATTAAGGTTGACAACCGTTAAGATAGAGACTGTACTCGATTTATCCAGATCGGTTGAACGGCCCTTGCGGTGTCCGTGACATGCATCAGAGTTGCCAGTGGTGGTGGTGGAATTGGGTTTAACGTCGTGCTTGAGAATATTTCGCTCATATGACGACGTGCATGCGTGTGTATGTGTATGTGCGGCTGCTTATACTAACGCAGACTGAAGCTGGTTTTATAGTGCTAGCCCACTGAGATACCATGCCGCAGTGAAGCATGAATACCCCACTCAGACACATTATACTGACTCCGAGCCGACCAGTCCTTGTTGTACCCATTAATGCCGAGCGCCAGGCAGGGACCAACAAGTACCATATTTTAACGTCTTTTGGTATGACGCGGTCGGGGATCGAACCCGCGACCTTCCGCACTCCGGGCGGACGCTCTAACCACTACACCACGGAGGCGGTCTCAGAGTTGCCAGTGACAGTAGCGGGTAAACTGACTGTCGTGACAGAGACATTAACAGGTGACTCTTCAAAACACTGTTGTCGAACAACTAATAATCAGTTCTGATCTAATTGCAGGATGTGCCGACTGTGTTATCATTCTGATTGACCCAACGAGTCGTTGTAAGTGTGTGTGGACAAGCCAAAAGTACAGATGAGAGATGAGACAGGTGCTTGTAGAAACTTGGCACGTTGACTCTGGGAGGGTGCCGGGGCTCCTGTCGTTTAACAGGAGCGTGTTCTGCCTGCTGATGTTCCGTGGTGCTTGAGAACGTCTTTATATGAACCCGACTTCTCGGCAAGCCGCAAGGGTGAATGAGTGAGTGAGTATGGTTTTACATTTAGCAATATTCCAGCAATATGACGGCGGGGAACACCAGAAAATAGACTTCACACATTGTACCCATGTTAGGAATCGAACCCGGGTCTTCAGCGTGACGAGCGGACGCTTTAACCATTAGGTTACCCCACCGCCCCTGCAAGCCGCAAGGACGTCGGTCAGACAGGTTCCAACTGGTTCTCGTTTGCTATTTAGTGAGGTACATGATTGAGTCAGGCTACAAACGGGATTCCTGGACCCTTAAGAGCCAGACAGGGAGGTCGCACCATAGAGCAGGAGCAGGGTGGCAAAGGTTGCCACGACACGATTGCACCCAGAAGCAGATTGCCAAAACAAGGTTACACCATGCAGAACGGCGGCAATGAGTGCAACAACAAGGGCGCAACACGGAGCATTGTCCAAAGATTACTACGGAGCGAGATACACTGGGGTTGGTCTCATCCGTAATTTCTATCCCCTAGAGCATAGTTATGCCGTGCCTTTGAAGATCGTGCTTAGTAAAATTCTTGCCTTTGTTTGTTTACCTACCTGGTTTATAAATCAATGCAACGAACGTTCACAAATGTGGAAAGAACTGAACTGAGACTGAACAGTTGGTATTCCATCGACGACCGATTCGTAAAATTCGATAAACATAAAACAAGATGGCGTATATGATATCAATGAAAAGGCTTAACACCTATCTTGCGATATTTTGTGTAACTATGCATCTCGTCCACGTCTCTCGTCCACCTGTGCTCGCCAGTGGACGGATAACAATCAGTTTACCATTAGCTGTATCGAACCCTTTGTTGTTCAGCTGGCACCTGTCCTAACAATAGCAACAGGTGTTTCATTGTTTGCTGCACGGCACTGATTGCTTATCAAAGCTTTCGAGATGTGTACAACTCTGGATTATTTCTGTGTAAATAGTCGAACGCTTAGAGTTTCTCAAGCCTACGTGTGCTTGAAACCTTTTGCATCATATTTGCAGTTCAATCCAAGATCAACCAAGCGCCATACTCATACCCAAATGACGGAGAGTCGACGTTGCTATCTCATAACCCAGACTCGTTCACAAAAAGCACATTGACAAGGTATGCCCAACTTGCAATGAGCCTGAATCGATTGCTCACAGACTGGAATGTCACGACCCCGCCCCAGCCCGGGATCGTATAAGCTGGAAATGAATTTATATCCGTTATCTGTCGTAGAGCCCTCAAAGCCAAGAAAAGCACGATAAACTACTAGTGACTAAACGCATGAGCAACAGAAAGGTTGCTAATATACTCTCCGAAAAAGGAAACGCATAGTTGTATTTGCACGAATGTAATCTGATAACTTTAAAGTGAAAGTAACTTATCAGTTGAAGCCAAAACACCACAGTATATGAGATCAAATGTCTGTTAATATGTACAGCTTATTAAAAAATCAGTACGTGAAGGCGTCCGTTCCCAGTTCGGCGTTATCTTCAATATATGTTGTGGCCACCATGAGCACCCCAAAACTGCTCTGCATCGTATCGGCATAGACTGAAAAAGTCTTTGAATTTCTGGCAATGCCTGCGACAGTTGATCTCACGTCTGGGGCGCCGGTTGACGTTCCCACAAATGCTCGATGGGGTTGTATTCGGGCGATTTGGTAGACCATGGAAGCACTGTAATGTTCTCATTCTGAAGATACTGAATTGTGACATGTCCTGTATGATTTTGTCTCTGTACTGAAGAACAGTTAAATTGCCCTGAAGGCGCACAAAGTTATAATTCTGCGTGTAGGTTATGGTTCCCCACATCACGACGCTCCAACAACCAATTCGCGACACAATTCAAAACGTTCATTTCGACGTCGATAGACACTTACTCTTTCGTCAAGACACTGAAAGCGGAATTTGTCACTGAATGGTGCCGTTTTGTACGTTCCAGAATCGAACGTTATTGCACCACTGGGCCCGTCCAGCTTCTTGTAAACGATTACGAATAGATTGCGCCAGCTCTCTCCTCAAACCAGGCAGTATATAGTTGCAGTTGCTGTGACAGTTCGATTCCGCAAATGAAGTTCCCGGATGTACCCATACCGCGCTGCCGGTCCCATAAACGACTGATGGTACTCTGGTGAACTTTGAGGTGACTTACGACGGCAGATTGAGACTCCCCAGGCTTCAGGCGTCCAATGGCAATGTTTCGATTTACACCAGTGAGTCGCGGTATGACGGTATTCTTCAGCTTAAAAAATGCCAATGACTAAAAGCAAAATGGCTTCACATAGGCAATGTCCCTGCTCGTGATTCTTCAGAACTGCACGTGTATATTGCGAACCACTTTTTTTCCATGACATTTTAATGCAAATTGACACTTTCCAACGTAAACGTTTATCATAGTTTCCGAGGATGAGTTTTTGTTCACTAACCAGCATTATAATGGCGAAATTTAACAATCAAACACTAATTTTAAAAAATATTTGAAATTTTATACATCAATATCACCGATGCGTTTCATTTTGGGAGAGTATAGATATACTCTAGGTAGTTCTCGCTGAGAATCAGTTCATTCACACACCAGGAAGCCATTAGATGTGGCTGTCGGGTTATTGATCGTAATGTAATATGCCTTCCTCTAAGTAACTCTATACGTATCTATGAACGTCCATGAACTATTTATGTTAATTTATCGGTGGGAAGTTCGCTTTGTGCGCTGAAAAACTCTTCGATTATTTGTAGCGGCAACTGAAGGCCCTAATGCAGTATTTCATTTAAACAACAGTTGCTTGAGACAAAAGCTAGGATCACAAAGTCAACAGTGATTATTGTTAATTATTTACAATTCATCTCCTTGGGCATGAACGATTCGAGTTTTTGTGGACTTGGCCATAGCGGTAACCAGAGACCTTCATCAATTAGACTTTCCTCCGATATCATCTAACATTTACTGGAATACTGATGTAACTGGAATACTGCTTCAAGCACTCATTTCTTTTCATATTTGGGGCTGAAAGGAAACATATCTTTATGCCACGGCGATTTGCAACACAGGTGGAACAAATAACAAATATACAGACAGCTGATGTACTTTGATAAGAGGAGCAGCCTTCATCCGGGGCGGTGGGGTAGCCTGGTGGTTAAAGCGTTCACTCGTCACGCTGAAAGACCCGGATTCGATTCCCCACATGTGTTCAATGTGTGAAGCCCATTTCTGGTGTCCCCCGTCGTGATATTTCTGGAATATTGCTAAAGGCGGCGTAAAATCAAACTCACTCACTCATGCAGAAGACCAAGTTTCGATTCAGCTGAAGGCTATCCTGTGTGTGGTGTCCGGCCGGGATGTGACTTCCAGTTGTCGTATATAATGGTAGCATCAGGCAGGATTCGCGAGGTTTTCACATGAACGAAACTTGATATGGACTTGAAATTGATATGAGTCTCCCAAAACAAACACCAAAATTCCGTATTGTCAAATGTCATTTGCTGGACCAATAATACATCCAGTATTCATATCCACGTTTTGCAAAACAAGGTACAGTTAAAGAGGAAGGTCACTGTAAGAGGAAGGTTGTAGATGGAAATAATAACTGACGCCACGCGCTGCTGAAGGCTTCTTATGA